CAAAATATGAGGTCTACAATATTGAATGAAAAGCAGGCGGCTATGCAAAAGCACTGGGGTGGGACAGGACAGGAACAAAGTGAGTCTGTGCACAATTATATAAAATCCAGACAACAGAAAGTAGTGCGATATAGGGGAAAGAAATGATTAGGGTCAGGAGACAATGGACTCATGTCTACATCTGTCACCAATTAACTTTTTTGACTCACCTGAGAAAGGAGACTGGCCTAGATAAAATCCAAGGGCCCCTCAAGCGTTCATTCTATGTGTAGTGAAAGTATAATGCCCCACGTTAACTTGTGAGTACAGCAAGCAATCAGATTTACCCTTTACCCTGAATCCCTGTTAGTTGACTCAACTAACACTTTCACGAACACATTTGGAAGAAGATGGGGTGCATTTAGGGAAAAATTTCTGAAAGACTTTGAAATGGACCAAAAAGATTATTCAATGTCATCAATGAAAAAACAGACGCGATCTAGCACAGCCTGCAGGGTTATCTGCTTCCATGTGGTCCAAGCCTTTGTCTTTATTTTATAACTTAGCAAGCTGTAGAATACTGAGAGAAATGCAAATGATTCTTGTCCACAGCAGTGAAAACTGTCTGGTGGAGTGAGAGCTCATTACTGCACTATGGATAGAGACCAGTTTCGCTTCTCTGAAGCAAATTTCAGTACTCTTGATTACCTACATGTCTGCTCTTCCGATTCTCCGAACACCTTAATGATTCACTTATTCATTACTGAGGTGTAAGCACTAGAATTTAAATGTACATACTTGAAAAATAAAATAACAAAGGTTTGGTCAAAATAAAGGCAAGCATTATTTTAGCCAATGGTTCACCTGACAACGCTCCCTCTAAGCAGCACGGAAAGCGCACAGGAATAATGGGAGGGTAGGGTAGCAATCAGTTAAGGACCCAGATGTGTTTTTACTATGTTCAGCTTGCAGAACTGCTAGTAAGTCGCCTTAAACTAAAAGCTATCTTTTCTTGTGGATAAATCTCTCACCAAATATCTTGGCGTCTTCTACACATCTCTGGGTTCGCCTTCTTATGTTTTCACCATCAGCTACAGCTCTCTGGTATCTCACCTGAACATCAGAAGCAAAGTCAAAATGATGATAAAACAAATGCTTATCGGCAGAAAAGAACGTTCTTGCTGACTTTACAAATTTTACCCTTATGACAGGTTTTTATTTAAAAAATTGGGAGTTGTAGGAATTTTAGGTCAGGTACTTGAAATCCCATCAAAGCAGGAACCTCCCCTTTATAGCATCCCCGAGAGGCTGTCATTTAGCCTGCTGGTTTGAACACTTTAACAACAGTTTTCAAGCTTATCATCTTGAGAAAAAGCTTTCTTTTTCACATTCAGCCAACTGCCACCCTCCAACTTTTATTCACTTTATTGAATTCTAGGACAATCAAGAGTAAGTTTGAAAAATGTGTCATCTATTTGAAGGCAGTTATTTTAGTCTTTCTCTCTTTCATTCTTAGAATCCCTGGTTCCTTCAACCGCTCCCATAAGACACGCCTTCCAACCTCCTTACCATATGGGCGGTCTTGCCTCGGAATTACTCCATCTTTCTCTCACAGTGTGTCTGTCAACCTAGTACTGGGCACAGTACGCCAGATGTAGTCTGATCGGGAGAGTACAACAGGGAACTGAAGAGATGACTCTCCTTAGTGAGTGATGTTTCTGAACCACTACAGGTTATTCTGCCTAGCATCCCTACCAAGAAGGTGGAGATGGGGTGAGGGGTAATGAGCCAATTAGAGGAAACTATTTAAAAAATTGACATAAAACACTTGACTTGAATATTTAAACCAGAGAGAAGATGTGAAGGACAGATGATATAACATCCACTCACCGTCAAATCCTGGACTTCCTTCTCCAGTTTGACAGCTTTTAGCTTTAAGGCTCTCTCTGCAAGAGAGGGCCCAAGCCCATCAGGAGGGTCCTCAGAGCTGCAGTCCTCCCCAGCAGTTCTCTGGGTGGCAGTGCTGAAAGGACGCAGCCATGCCCTAAAGTGGGAGGGAGGTGGCGCACAATGAAGAAATGGCATCATAAACAGCCAAAGTTACAACAAAGTTCAGAGACTGGGAAGTTCCCAGATTGAACTCTAGACAAAGTGCTTTCAGTCACAGTAACAATATGAACACTGACAAAGTGCTTACTAAGTGCCAGACACTGTTCTCAGGGTTTTCTTTAAATCATCTCTTCATCTACAACAATGCATGAGATAAGTACTATTATTACCCTTATTTTACAGATGAGAAAATTGAGGCTCAGAGAGGCCTAAGACTTGTTCAAGATCATACAGATAGTATTCTATTGAGCCAGGGACTGAGCACGAGGCAGTAGAAACTGCCAGAAGTGGAGACACAAGAGCCAGCAAGAGAAAACCAGGTTTGATACCCAGAACCAATGGGGCAATATCAGCAGCAGGAATTCCAAACACAAAGCCTGACAGTTCTGGTTCAATCCTTCATTTTATTTTATTCTTTCCCTCTCCAAAGCCCCAGTGCACGGCTGTATATCCCAGCTGTAAGTCCTTCTAGTTCTCCTATGCAAGCCACAGCATGGCAACTGACGGATGGGTGGTGTGGATCCGAGACAGGGAAATGAACCTGGGCCACCAAAGAGGTGAGAGTGCCAAACTTTAACCACTAAGCCATCAGGGCTGGCGCCAAGCCTTCCTTTTACAGGTGGGGAAAATTAAACCCAGTAAAGGGGCTTTATCGAACCGAAGTTAGGCCGAAAATTCTAAACCTTCATGATTGCAAGCTGTTAAGTAAGGCTTTTAGGGAAGAGAAGCTGTGCTAAGAAAAATTCTGAGATGGCAACTCACCTATATGTAAAATCAAGTCAACTAAATACTTATAAAACACTTACTGTATGTTCTGAACTCTGAACTATAAACAGGTGAATAAAACAGATCTTTGTATTCAATTATGTTTGTAATCTAGAATTTTGTACAGCCAAAATTTTGACATTTAGTTTACATAGGAAGGAATCTGGAGTAGAGGCAAGTCTGTGGATCTTGGATTGTAGCTGTGTTGACCCCTCCCCTTCAAAGAAGTTTCCATCACACCTCTCAGATCCTAATTTAATTGGAAGTAAAATCACCAAGAAAATCAATCTTCGAGTACAAAAGCACTTTTAAAAAAGTTTATGTATGGGGCTGGCCCACTGGCATACTGGTTGGGTTCCCACACTCTGCTTCAGCAGCAGCCCGGGGTTCGCAGGTTCAGATCCCGGGAGTGGACCTACGCACGGCTCATCAAGCTGTGCTGTGGCAGCATCTCACATACAAAACAGAGGAAGACTGGCACAGATGTTAGCTCAGGGCCAATCTTCCTCACCAAACAAATAAGTAAAAATAACTTTAAAAATTTATTTATATAAACTGGCATATACTGAAGAGTGGTCATTGAGGTGACACCAGAGCAAAGGTTTAAAGAAAGTAAAGGAGTTTGCTTCAAGAAAGGGAAGAGAGAACAACAAGTATAAAGGTGTGGGCAAGACAACTTTCATCTCCCAGACTTTCCATGCCAGTCCTGAATTCAATGATTATGATCTGGTGACAGGTGATACATATGGTTCTAGGTTTTTGGTTCAGAAAATATGGTCACCACAGATCCGAGGCCAATCCCACAGGGTGAAATACGTCCTTCCTCCTAAACCCTTAGCAAACTACACCTATCTAGTGGAAAGCAGGTCAAAACACTCTCAGGGCCAGTTTAAAGGAAAATGGCGTGAAAGAGGAAATACGGCCGTTCCCTTCAATCCCTACGCTTCAGAACTGGAGCCGGGACAAATTTTATCTTAAGGAACCATTTTCTGGTCACTTCTTTACATCACAAACTGCCAAAAAGACGGGAAAAAAAAAAGCCGGAAACCCTGAAATCAACCTCTCACCAAGGTGCTAGGGCGGGGTGCTGGGTCAGGCTCGTTAAGATAAACAGGTGACAAATAGTTCTGCAAAGTTCCCCGGCGGCTTAATTTACATTTCAGAGGCCCAACCTTACCCACGCCCCCGTACTCAGCCATCTTATTTCCGAGGAAGAAGCAGTCATAGGGCAATCGTCCCTGAGATTAACTAACGTTGCTCACTAATTAAAAGAGCCGTTTTTGGAGCCCGGAGTGGTTTCCACATTTCCCCAGTATTTAAGTTTGGAGAAGTTACTCGACTCTCCCAAACCTGAGTTTCTTCAGTAACACGGGGGATAATAAAAAGAACTAGTCCTAGTTCGGCGAGGGGCACGATACGCGATCAATACAAGCCGCCGCCACCGATGGAGACGAACAGCCAGAGGGACTCGCTGAGTCCCGCAGGCAGGTGCAGGGGGTGTGGGGGACGAGGTTCAGCGCCCTCCTCTGGCCGAGGGGTTGAGCGAAGCCCGGGTAATAGGGAAAGGACTGGCCCAAGGTCACACGGGAGAGGGGGACAGAATCCCAATCCACCTGCAGACAGCGCCTCTGGAGAGAAGGGGCAGGAAGAGGCGCATCCCCAATCCAATCCACGCTGGGGGCTAAAGGGACCTCCTCCCCCGAGGGCGCGACCTCGGACCTCCCCGCATTCCCCGGCCCAACCGGGAGCGCGGTGGGGCGTCAGTCTGCCCCTCTGCGAAACGGGGTCCGCAGCGCCGGGTTGCAGCCGCCGAGAGGCTGGGCGGGTCCTCGCGCCCTCCAGCCCACAGCCGCCCGGCCGGCTCGCTCGGCCCGCACTGTCCTCAAGTCGCCGACCCCCAGTCCGCGTTGCTTACCTGCTCTGGAACGCGGCGCTCGAGGCCAGGAGACGCTGCACCCGCCGCCGTCCCGCCCACAAGGCCCGCGCGGCCATGTTCCCGAGCGCGGCGGACGGAGGCGGCGCACGCGCACTCGCTCCGAGCGGCGAGAGACGCTCACTTGAAAAACCACGCTTCGCGGGCGTTTCCCTCTCGGCGCTGCCGGACGCGAAAGCTGCCCTTCCGGTTGTCCTTGTGCGCCGCGCTCTTCTCCGGAGCGCAACACTTCCGGTCCACGGTGTGTTCGGGTTCCTGGCACGAGGGCGCGGGCTCCGTGCTAGTCGCCGAACCCGCGGCGCCCAGAAGGCATCACAGCTGTGCCCTCGGGGAGCTTACGTGAAGTTATAAACAAATGCAAATACAATGTAAAGTCAAAAGATGGCCGGTGTTTAAAAGGCGAGGGGCATGGCGCTACGGAAGCCTAGAATACAATATGGCCGGGTAGGGGGCGGTTTCCCAATGGAAACAATATTTGAACTGAAGGCTGAAGAATGAGTAGATGAAAAGAGGAGGAAAGCTTTCAGGTAGAGGGAAACAGCATCTGCGAAGACTCAGCGAAGAGGGACAGAAATACTCGAGGGTGGGGAGGGGCGTTAAAAGGCAGGGCCAGGTCACGTGAGAGGTTTAAAAAAATCTGAGCGTGGGTCACATCCCCCGGTCACTCTTCCCTGCTTTTCCCTTCCACTTCCCTTACTAAAATGTAAGCTCTATTAGGCCGGAGGTTCATTTGGTCTGTTAATTTCTAATGAACAGTGCCCTAATGTAGTAGTTCAAAAATTCTTTGTCGAATGAACTTGAGTCTTAAGTCTGATTGCAATGGGAACGTGCTAATAACAAAGCCTTTACATATTTAAGGGGGTCGCTTGGCTGTATGGAAAAGATAGAAGGATGTAAGGAAATAGGTAGGGAAACAAGCTGTTGGAATTGCCCATGCAAGGCAGGGCTGTATTCTGTCCTGGGGTCACCTCGACAGAGACCTTTGTAGCCACTCTGTCCAAGGTAGCTACTGTTTTAGGTATGTCCAGCACATTTTTGTTTCCGTCTTGGTATTATATGTTTTGTTTCCTTTTTTGTTTGTCCTCCCAACTAGACTGTAAGCTTCATGAAGGTGTCTGTCTTGTTCACAGCTGTGATTTCTGACATCTAGTATGGTAGTGCTCAATAAATATTTGTTGAATGAATTAATGACGTTGGATGATGTTAGTAGAGATAGGAAGAAGTGGATGAATTTTAGAGCGATTTAGTATGGAAAGCTGACAGGATGTGAGCATGAGCTGGCACTCAGAGTTGCCAGAATAGTTACTGGATAGTCTCAAGGTAAAACAAAAAAACTTTTTTAAGGGATGGGAAGTGTGCCTTCATCATTCTGAGTCTTCACCATAACGTGGCTTACTTGTACTGTGGCTGTTTGGGTCGGATTTTCTCTGTGCTTGTCTCTGAGTTCCATGAGGACAGAGCTGGACAGGCTTAGCTTAAATGTGTTGTAACCGATACCTTATGTTTCCTTTTGGCCTTAGGAGAAGAGCAACATGGTTTAAAGAGGGATTATGATCCCCTTTTACATATGAGAAATTGAGGCTCATAGAGGTTGGTGAACCTGCTCAAGGTCCCCCACTGAGGATCTCGTGACACTAGAAATCTGATAGTCCAAACACCTGGCATTGTTGGGAAGGATGGAGCTTCAAGTCCACCTCAGACCTGTGAGCCTATGCTTTGAAAGGACAACCAAACAAGGCATTTTAACAAGTAAGAACTGGCATCCCTGCTTTAGCCATTTGTTTACACTTGGCTTAGCCCTCCATCTTCCACCAAATGTAATGCATGCATGCATCCATTCATTCGTGTCCTTATTAAGTGGTACTGTGCTTCTGAATGCTGCAGGGCAACAGGAGGGAGAGACATGGATAAAATAGAGCCTTGGAACTAAGAGGAAGGCCTCTAGGCTCAGACTTCTTGTATTCAAGTGCTGGCTCCACCACCACTTCCTAACTGTGGCTTCTGCAAGTTGCCTAAGCTCTCTGGGCTTCCATTTCCTGAACTGTCAAAACTGGTGTAATAGAACCTGCCTCACAGGCTTTTAGTAAATACTAAAGGGATAATGCCTAGAAAAGTGATTACTTAGCACCAGGACCAGCTACTTAATTTAAAGGGCAAAGAGAAATGTGGAGCCCCTTGTTCTAAACATAAGAGGGCAACAGCAGAACATTAAACCAAGCACAGGGCCCTCCTAAGCGTGGGACCCTGTGTGATTGTACAGGTTGCATGCTGGTGAAGCTGGTGCTGGCTAACACAGTGCCTGCATGGTGAGTGCTCAATAAATAACTATTAATTTCCTAGGGTCAGATCTCTCAAAAAGTCCAAGATCTATTGGAGGGAAAAGACATTTAACCTCAAAATAACTGCATGAGAGAGAATGTGACACACACTGAGGACACAGTTGGGTTGAGGGCTATTCCAGGATTCACATTTTTTTTTTTATTGGCACCTGAGCTAACATCTGTTGCCAATCTGTTTTTCCTTCTTCTCCCCAAAGCCCCCCGGTACATAGTTGTATATTCTAGTTGTGAGTGCCTGTGGTTGTGCTATGTGAGATGCTGCCTCACCATGACTTGATGAGAGTTGCCATGTCTGCGCCCAGAATCTGAACTGGCGAAACCCTGGGCTGTCAAAGCAGAGCACAAGAACTTAACCACTCGGCCATGGGGCCCGCCCCCGAGGATTCACATTTTAAAAAAGAACATTGACAATCCAGTTTACATGAGCTCCTTTGTCAATGAAGACACTCAGGTGGAATCTGGATGAGAATGGTCAGTTATGGATTGGTTGCCTTTTAGCTTTTGGTGGTTGTAATTACCATGTAAAAGTCATTTCTTCATCAGTGGAAAAGACACAGGATTTTGAGTCAGACGTTTCTTATCTAGCTAATAGTAAGAACCACTGTTGACTGGGCATTTCCTATTTCTTGGACACTGTGTAAAGATGCTTCCCATATATTATTATCTCATTGAATTCCCCCAACAATCTTGGGAGGAGAGTACAATTGTTACCCTAGTTTTCATGGTAAGGAAAACAAGAATCAGAGAGGTCAAGTGATTTTCCCAAAGTCACAGCTGGTAAGTGGCAGAGGCAGGGCTCAAACCCAGCCCTGTCTGGATCCAGGCTCATAAGCCCTAAGCCTTATGCTTTGCCACTGACCAGCTGAGTGCTTTTGGTCAGATTATTTCACTCGCTCTGGTCTCCAGCGACCGCAGAGGGTGGTGAAGTTTGGATGAGGCTCAAGTATGTCAAGCCTTCGGTATGGTAAAGTATGTGAAGCCTCTATTGAAGTGCACAGAGGTTATTCTGGGATTTCCCTTCTCTCCCCTTGAGCTAAACTCTGAGCAATTACAGTTAAACGGTTTTGTCTTTATAGGAGGGAAATGTGGTAAAGACATATAAAGTGCCTACAACGTTGAGAAAGTAGTGAGTGGCACAGGAAGAGACTGCCCAAGACTTGAGGTCCTTGCTCTCCTAGAAAAGTATGTGCTGGGGCCGGCCTGGTGGCATAGTGGTTAAGTTTGCACGCTCCGCTTCAGCAGCCCCGGGGTTCACAGGTTTGGATCCTGGGCACAGACCCAGCACCACTTGTCAAGCCATGCTGTGGTGGCATCCCACATAAAAGAGATGAAGACTGGCACAGATGTTAGCTCAGCGACAACCTTCCTCAAGCAAAAGGATGAGGATTGGCAACAGATGTTAGCTGAGGGCCAAGCTTCCTCACACACACACACACACACACACACACACACAGTATCCTGTTTATAAAAGGCTTAGCACCCATGTGGCAGAAATGAGCCACCATGCTCTTGGTTCTCCCTGATAGTTTTACTTGATGGCAGATATGGAAGGGCAAACTGGTGGGCCTCCGAGTGCAGCATAAAGATAAAGACATAAAGAGTGTCACCTGGATTTCTAACCACAGCTCCTGGAGCCTGAGTGTCCTATAAAATAGGTAAAGGACTTGATTGACAGCAAATGACCCCACCCTACAATGCCTGCAACATCCTGTGGACATTAGAAATCTATGCTACTGTCACTGAGTATCTCTGTGAGCTTAAATTATGTCAGCTGCTGAACCTCTCCTTTGCCTGCTGTATACTCAAATCTCTGATTTGAAAACACCTCAAATCTGGGGTTCTGGTAGCTGTATCTGCCTCGTTCTGAAGCAAATAAGGAATGATTGTAGAATTTGCATGTTTCTATAGCTTTTGTTCACCTTTATGCAGGCAGGGATAATTCTATTGATTTTCCAGCCTATTTATCTTGCCCAAAGGTGGTCAGTAATGGCCGGCATGAATACAGTTGGTGCAAATGTGACCGAATGATCAAGCCTCTTCTCTTTGTGCGGCACCACCGATGCTTCAGCACTGCCCTCCTTTGCCCTAAGGACTGGGAATGGGATGCTGAGAATGGGATGGAATGGCTCACTCACATGTGCTTTCATTTCTTCTTCAGAAGGGAAGGCAAAGACATTTAACAAAACCTTTACGACACTGCAGATTTCTATCTCCCTCCACCCCCATTTTCCACCCTCTGTAGAGTTATAAGGATGCCCTCCATTTCCCTCTTCCCTTCTACTGCTTCCCTCCCCATAACCCCTGTAATCATGCAGTCAATAAAGGCTGGTCTTTTGGGTGCCCTGGAGAGTAGAGGCTACTTCCAGTCTTCTGGTGTCTCCTTGTGAAAAAACCATTTCTGCCTTAGATGGACAGTCTCGTATTTCCTTTGGAATGAAATCCTCATCCTCTTTCTAGGTCTTCTTCATTTCCCATTCCTGAAGTACAGAAAGACAAGAAAAATCAGTTTGTTGAATGTTCTAGTGTGAATTGCAGGATAAAAACATTCCAGTGCATCTAATTATATAAAGAGCACCACTGGGCAGATTAGAGAGCCATGGGTCACAGTCCCACTCCCTCTCTTTCTGTAGCCGTGGGTAAGTCATTTCTCCACAATGGAGCTCGTCTCTAAGGGAGCCCAAATTTCACAAAGTTTGTCTTTCTCAGACAAGGAAACTGAGGCCCAGAAGGAGGGGAGTGGGGACTGCACTGGCTCCAGTGCTATTCCCCAGGACCGGGGGGTGGGGTAGGAGGCTGAGGGGAGAGAAGCCAAAGCAGTTTAGTAAGGAAGGGTGAGGGCAGGCAGCCCACAGGGCTCCATTCCTTCTGCCAGGGCTGTCTAGGAGTTCATCTGAGAGGAATGTGGAAGTCATGGCCAACAGTGAATGACTTTTTACCCATAAATGAGGCATGGGGTTTCCAGCCAGCTGTGAACCAGGGTAGAACGTGACAGTTAGAAAATTCTTGATGGGAGGATTCTCCAATCCCAATCTGCTCCTCGCCCAGTCTTTGCCATGTAAATCACAGTTGTTCAAGGCAATGGCCTAGGCGTCATCCTTGATTCCTTTTCCTCATCCTCCACATCTTCACTGGCAAATCCTTTGGCTCTACCTCCAAAGCCAGCCACTTCATATCACCTCCACTAAACCCTTCTCCTCTCTCATCTAGATTACTACTTCTAACTGGTCTCTCTTGTCCCGTCATCAATTCTCAACAGAGTAGTCAAAATGGTCTTTTAAAAATGTAATTCACATCCAAAAATTGCTTGCTCAAAACTTGCCAATGACTTTCCATTATGTTGGAACAAAATCCAAAGTTCTTCCAGGGGCTTACAAGGATCAAGGAGAAGCAAACTATGACCTGTGGGCCAAATCTGGCTCACTGCACGTTTTTGTACAACCCGTCAGCTAAGAATGGTTTTCACATTTTTTTTTAAAGATTTTATTTTTTCCTTTTTCTCCCCAAAGACCCCCCATACGTAGTTGTATATTTCAGTTGTGGGTCCTTCTAGTTGTGGCATGTGGGACGCTGCCTCAGCGTGGTTTGATGAGCAGTGCCATGTCCGCGCCCAGGATTCAAACCAACGAAACACTGGGCCGCCTGCAGCGGAGTGCGCGAACTCAACCACTCGGCCACGGGGCCAGCCCCACATTTTTAAATGTTTGAAAAAAATTCAAAAGAACAGTAATTTTTCATAACACCTGAAAATTATATAAGATTCAAATCTCAGTGTCCATATAAAGTTTTATGGGGATACAGCCATGTTCATCATTCGTATACATATCGTCTATGGCTACTTTCCTGCTACCATGGCAGAGTTGAGTAGTTGGGGAAGAGACCACGTGATCCATAAAGCTTCAAATATTTGCTATCTGACCCTTTACAGAAAAAGTTTGCTGACATCTGGTCTAGATGATCTGGCCTCTGGCTGGTTACTTCTCTAATCTCACATCCTAATGCTCAGGTATTTGTTTTTTAAGTCCACACTTCTTACGTGCAATTCTGAAATCTAGAAAGCTCTGAAACTAAAATTTTCCTCAAATGTTTTGGCACAAACTCACTTGTGGCAAAATCTGACCTGAGCTGATGTGAGGCTGTTTATAATCTCTCTATTCCACGTGGTGTGAATATTCATGAGCCTTGCTGTAGAATTATTAACATGTTTGCTTACAGAGTACCTCCTGAGAACTTGTTGGGGTTTTTCATCATATATAATATGTACCATATTACCTTTCCAAAATCCCCAAAGTCCTGAAACAGCTGGCCAAGCATTTCAGAGACAGGACTGTGGACCAGTATCATGGAGGGCGGCCTGGACTTGGCATGGGAAGAGGTGGGTGTGCATCCCAGCTCTCGCAATGATGCCCTGTTTAACCGTGGGCAAGTCCCTTTACTCCCTCATCTTCACTTTCCTCACCTATGAAACAGGGCCTTTCCTGTCTCAAGACACACTGTAGATCAGAAACCAGATGACTGCGCTTGTTAGAACTATGTGTTAAGAAAGAGAAAATAACTTCTGAATGAGATTTAAGGATCTTCTCATGAGTTTTACTGCATGTATGTCTTGGCAATTCTCTGCCTTTCTCACTAGCTAATTTTTGGTTCTTGGTGAGGTTTCAGAGAAAGGAGGCTGCCAGTTCTCTGAACTTTGATTAGCTGAGCGATTGCTGTACCTTGGCTTTCTGTAGTACCCGTCCTTGGTTGGAGGTTACGATAGATGGGCTCCTCTTCCTCAGCTCAGAAACACAGTTGACAGGGAGAGGTTGCTCTGGGGCATTGTTTTGGGGTTTATTTGCAGTCTCCTGTTGATAACAAGAAAGAGTTACATCGGCAAGGTCTAGTGCTGGCTACCTACACCATGCCTGCCCGCCAAAGAATGCAAGTAGAATGCCCTCCGCTGACACACCAGCATCGCACAGGGTGAGGGAGGAAGATACTGAGGGCCTTGGAATAAAGGTTATGATGGCTAAAAGTACTAAACTCTCATGATGCACCAGGCATTGCATGCATTAGCTCATCTAGCCTTTCCAAGCCTCTGAAGTATGTACTAATATTAGTCATCCTATTTTACAGAGAAGGAAAATGAGAAGGTCAAGTCACTGCTCAAGGTCACACAGCTGGTGAGTAGGAGAGCTGGCATTCAAACCTACAGCCCTCTCTCTAACCTCTCTCCTGTATTCCTTCTCATTTCCTACACTGCCTTCACCCCTTAAATTTTTCAGATAATTGCTTAGTACCTTACTGGATGTAATTCCTTAAGCATGACGTATTAATAGCTAAGCCTGCAGGGAATTTAGAGAAGACTTCTCTTTATCTCCAGAGGCCATCAAAAGGATCAAAAGTGGAGGGAAAAGTCCTCTGGAATGTGAACATCAGGGCATGCAGGTGGGAGGAGGCGGCTGGAATGAGTGATCCACTTCTAACTCTTTCACCAGCCCTCTGTGACCCTGGGAAGTTGTTTTGTCCCTGGCCCTTAAGCTCTTCACCTGTGAATGAGTTTGGAAACGCCCCATGGAGAGGAAGTGCAGGGGTGGAAGAAACAGCCCTGGCTTCAGAGTCATGGGGTGCGGTCTGATCAGGCAGCGTAAGCTTGGAAAACAACAGTAAGAATACACTTCCCAATGACAACTCACACTTATCAGACCAGTTATTTCATCTCTCTGAGTTTCAATTTCCTTGTCTGAAAGCAGCTGAAACATTTATTCATTCAACAAACATTTATTGCACTCCTACTGTTTTTTAGACTCTGTAAATATAGGCTAGAGACATAACAATAAATAAAAAAGACATGTCCAATTCTTAAAAATACAACCTTGTGGAGGAGACAGATATTGGACAAGTAAAGACACAAACATGTACACACACGTATACATGCTGTGGTTAAATGCTGTGAGGAAGAATAACAGATGGGACCATTGGTAATTTACACTAGCGGTTTCCAACTGGGGGCCATTTTGCCCTCCCGGGGGACATTTGGAAATTTCTGGAGACATTTTTGGTTGTGATAACTAGGGGTGGGGAACTACTGGCATCTAGTGGGTAGAGGCTAGGGATGCTGCTAAACATCCTACAGCGCACACAACAGTCCCCTGTAAAAAAGAATTATCGGCCCCAATAGCCATAGTGCAGAGGCTGAGACACTGATACAGACTGAGGTGAGCAAGGTTCTCCCTGAGGAAGTCTCATTCAAGGTGAGAGTGTCTACCTTGCAGGGTTGCTGGGAGCACTGGAGATAATGGATGCAAAGGCCTGAGGACAGCGCCTGGGACACTCGGGACCCCAGGAGAGGACGTGTGCCATAGGGGCTAAAGCAGGGCTCTGGAGTCAGACTTCCTGGGTTTGGAATCCTGTCTTCCACTTAGCTGAGTGACCTTGAGCAAGTCATGCAACATCTCCGAACCTCAGTTTCCTTGTCTGTCAAATGAGATGGATACCCATAGTCCTACCTCATAGGACTGCTGGGAAGAGTGTGTGAAATAACTCAGGTGAAGATGCTGTACTGGCCCATGGTACCCGGTCAACACAAGGTTGTTATTCTTATTCAACATACGGTAGTTACTATTATCATCGGTAACCCCAAGGCCACTTCTAAGATCACATTGAGGATAAAAAGTCAAGTGGTGGGGCTGCAGTGGAGAGGACACAGGCCAAAGGACTTGCTCCAAGAGTCCCCTTCCTAGCCGTGCCACCTATGTATGGCGTGTCTCCTCTGCTCTTTGGGCCTCAGTTTTCTCATCTGTAGACGAGCATAACTCCTACCCCCAAAGAACGATCATAAAGAGCAGTAGCACATGAGGGGGTTAAGGAGCAGCTGCCCTGGTGCAGAAGGAGGTGGACTCACCCTGCTCTTGTTCTTGCTGCTCACCAAGAGCCCCAGGGCTGGGCCCCCTGCCAGGGACTGCTGCAGGCGCTCCTTCACAGCCACCAGCCGCAGCTCCAGGTCAATCCGGCGCTCCTCCTTCGCGCGACACTGAACTTCCAGGGCGGCCACAGCCTCCTCCAGAACCTTTAACTTTGTGCCTGCGTCCAAAGACATAGATGAGAAACAGCTGAACCTGGCCTGAAGCACCAGGGAGTCTGGCAGGGCCTCAGGCCCTACTCTGCCCCTCCTAGGGGGCCTTTCCAGCTTTCAGTCCTGGTTAAGAGACGGATTTTGGGTCTGAGGTTCCAGCTCCATGCTGGGTTGTGTGGTTTTTACCTGCCCAATACCCATTTCCCCATCTTCTGGTATAGAACCCTGATTTTCCACTGCGAAACCACCTTTCCCCTCTGATTCCCTAGAGTTCCGATGGGGCTGACCTCACTCCTAGTTTAAGGGGTTGACACATAATGTAGATCTGGCCCATAATTGTATCTCATTCTCTGGTCACAGTAATCGATGTAGGGATCAAAGTTGGCCCGATCAGAGTGAATCTTGAGGTGTTTGTGGGGGCCATTGGGAAGAGAAGCTCTTTCTGCTGGGCTGGCTGAGAGGATTGGGTAAGGGCTGGAGCTGTGCAGCCATTGTGCCACCATGAGGGGCAGAAAGTGAAGCCAATGTAAAGGAAGGCAGAAGCAAGAATTAGAGAAATAAGCTTCCTGGTGGCATCATTTAAGTCCCTGGACCTTGCTATACCTGATCGTTCAATTTTCCAATTACATTTTTCTCCTTTTCAGTTCTAAGCCAGTTTAATTTTGGTTTTTGTTACTTGTAATGAAGAGACATAACACAGGGCTTTACACTGACCAGGGGTTCCTACTAGGATTTTGCTGCTTATTCAGTTAAGCCAACAAACCTATAATAGAACCTCCTTTGTGCCAAGAGCTGTGTTGGGTCTTACCAGGTTCAAAAATTAGTTTCATTGTTTGCCCTAAGGGAGGCTGCACTGGAGAGTTTTCTAATAATGGTAGATTCTTTCCATTTGTTTGTTCATTCATTCAGTAAATACTGAGTGCCTGCCTGCTGTGCACCAGGCACTGGTCTGTGCTCTTGAGATATATCAGTGGACAAAACAGGCAAAGATCCTTGCCCTTATGGAGCTTATATTTGTGTGTGTGTGTGTGTAAGAGAGAGAGAGAGAGACAGACAGACAGACAGAGAGAATAAATATAATAATCTAATATGTTACAAAGTGATGTGCTATAGGGAAAAACTGAGCAGGACAAGCAGGGTAGTCAACCTGTTCCAAACCCTGGTTTTGACTCTTATATTGAAACCAAACTGCATTTCTTGGTCTCCCTCCCATTGATTCTGGTCCTTGGCCACACAGAACAAGTCTTATCCTTTAAGCCAGAAATACTCAATCTGAGGCTCGTGGATTCCTAGGCAATCTGTGTCTCCGGGGACACATGAGCTCCTGAAATTGTTTGCAATGTTGTGAATTATGGGTTTTTTCCCCTCTAAGAAAGGGTCCGCAGGTTCCATCAGATTTTCATGGGGTCATGGACCTTGGACATATTCTATGTAAGGACAGGACCTCTGTTCCCTCCAGCATGTGCAGCAACCTGCTGCCAAACTGCAGCTATAGAGAGAACTGACAGGGAACACGGCAGCAAATGGCGTGCAGAGGAGCCCACTGCAGGCAGGGCTCATGGAGGTCATGGCCCTGGATTTCACAAGAGGATCCTTGGTAAGTCTCCCTGTGCACCTGGACCAATGTCTCACACAGTCAGGTGCTCAGCACATATCTGAATGAATGAGTTAATGTGAGGCTCCGAATGATATCTCTTATTTCCTTAATTTTAAGGCACACACTATTTTTCACATTTTAATATTTCTAAAATCAGATCACATCTTACCATATTAAGTGTACACATTTTTGTGATGCTTTTTCATCCCCTTACCCCAAAAGCAATTATTAACTTGATGGCACTTCTATTAGTCAGGAGGGATAATGAGGAGGAGGAGGAGGAGGAAGGGGAAGAGAAGCCCCTCGTCCTGAGTAAGAAACTGGGTGACCTGTCCCAGGGGGAGTGTCAAGGCTGAGTCCCCCATGAGCGCTCAGGACCACACCCACAGAGGTACCTGGACCGCTCCGAATGGCTTCCTTCAGCTCCCTCTTCTCCTGCCTCAGTGCCATCAGCTCCGTCCGGATGGTCTCTTTCTCTTTCTCCAGCTTCTCTTTTTCTACCAGGTACCTCCGGGCATCCTCCTCAGCTCGGTTCTTACCATACTTGTATTGATTGGCACCTGCAGAGAAGTGAGGCAGGAAAAGGCCCTCTGGTAAGGGTACTTGGGTGGCGTTACGTCTTCTCTCTCAGCCTCAACTCCTACATCTATTAAATGAGAATATTTAGATCTATACCCTCAGATACATTTAGTGTGACTCCTCTAAGGAAATAAGGAGCAAAAGGGAGACAGAGCACAGGGACGAGGACCAAGGGCTTTAGAACCAGACAGACCAAGGTCTGCGTTCTCTTTTGCCCTTTGCTGGTTGTGTGACATTAGGCAAAAGTGAATGGTGGTGTTTTGTGCCTTCCCTTTAGGCCTTAGTTTCCTCATTTGTAAATGTGGATATTGATCAGATTTACCTCCTAGCGTTGTGGTAAGGTTTAAATGAGACAATTCATGAAAAGTACTTAGTATAGTACCTGGCAAATAGTAAGTGCTTAATAACTATTAGATAATAATAATAACATAAAACAAATACTGTGATGTATAACACTCTTCGGTTTTAGAAGGGCATATTTTAAAGTTAACTCTCAGGTATATTTAAGACAAGGAGACAGTTACATAGAACTCAGATCTATAGAGAATTGAGACCTTGGGCTGAAGTCAGGCATTGCCCTTTTTAGTACTGGGAAAAGGAATCTCATAGTCTACCATAGGCTCTACACTATGGTGGACAATGACAACAAATAATTATGAAAAAAATGTATCGAGCCTTTACTATGTGCTAGGCCATTTATATGCACTTCCATTTAATCCTTACAAAAACTTACTATTATTAGCTCTATTTTATTGTTGAAGAAGCTGAGGCAGAGAGGTTAGGTCCCATTGATAATGATGGCAGAGCCCAGATTTGAACCCACGTCTAACTCCATGGTCCATGCCACACAATACTGCTCTAGCTGTGGCAAGGCCATTGTCCAACCTCTCAGTGGAAGTTTTATTTATTTTTTTGCTACAGATAGCCCCATACAGTCCTTTGTAAGTTGGTGGGGTGTGGAGTGATTCCCATGATTTACTGATAATTGGGGATCTTCCCTCTCTAGCTCTCCTAACGTTTGCAATGGTCACCCAGTGACCCATGCAAAAATCAGTTCCTGCCACAACTACCCTGCAATTCAAGCCCGATCATAAATAAATCACAGAGGGCAGAAAAGGAGACCCATACCTCCCCCAACTTCCCAGATACACAATTTTGGATTTTATAGACTGGTAAAAAAAATAAAAAAAATGGGTAGACCAACAAAGCATTGTCAACATTCTATTGTATCAGATAAGACCTTAAAAACCCCAACTATCATCTATTATTCCCAATATTTTACAAAATAAACAATATTTTAACATCCTCAGAGTTGGAAGGATACAAGTGCAGAATGAACTAGTCATTTACATTGAATAGATTTAGCTTTATAAAAAGCTTCATGCACTGTGCTTATCTTTCTCATTTCATTGCAGATGAGTGAAAACTTCCTTAGGGACTGAACCAGCAAGTGGAATCACCTTTGGGAGCAGCTACCCTGGTTTGCCTTGATGTGTCAGCACCACGGAGAGCAGCTTATCTCACACCCCCACCCTGTAATACTTAAGTCACTCGAACAGTGGTGAAGAAACAGACTAGTTGTTTCTAATGGGTAAGTTGTAAGGAGCTATAATTTTGTGGGCCTCATAGGATGAGTGATACAATATTTGCTTCAGAACTGTCCAAGCACCTTCCAGAAAAATGTGGGCTTCCATAAGGAGAATAAAAAGGAAAGTTTAGTATCCAAGTTACTAATATAACCAATGCACTAATGTTGTAGTATGTATCATTACTTCATTCCTTTTTATTGCTGAATAATATTCCAGGTGGTTTTAGGGGGAAAGCCTCCATTGTTTCTATGAGAACTCAGCTGTTCATCTTATTAGGGGATCCTTTGTAAGTGATGAATTGATTTTCTCTTCTGCTTTCAAAACTTTATCCTTGTCTTTGGCTTTAGCATTTTGATCATGGTGTGCCTTTTGTGGATCCCTTTGCCTTTATTCTTCTTGAACTTCATGGAGCTTCCTGGATGTGTAAATTAATGTTTTCCAATAAATTTGGCAAGTTTTCAGCCATGATTTCTTTCAATATTTTTTGTGCTCCTTTCTCTCTCCCCTCTCCTTCTGGTGCTCCCTTTATGCATATGTTAGTGCATTTAATGGTGTCCCACATTTCTCTGAGGCTCTGTTCATTTTTCTTCATTCTTTTTTCTCTCTGTTCTTTGGAGTGCATCATCTCTATTGATCTATCTTCAAGTTCACTTACTCTTTCTTCTGCCAGTTCAAATGTACTGTTGAACCCCTCCAGTGGGTTTTTCATTTCAGTTATTGTACTTTTTAGCTTCATGATTTCCATTTGGTTCTTCTTTTTGTAATTTCTGACTCTTTATTGATTTCTCTATTTGATAAGACATATTCATCTTACCTCCTTTTAGTTCTTTAAGCATGGTTTTCTTTGGTTCTTTGAACATATATAAAATGGATGCTTTGAAGTCTTTGTCAAATTCCACATGCAGGCCCTCTCACAGGCAGCTTCCGTTGCCTGCTTTTTCCCCTTTCATGTTTCTGTGCATGTTTCATAATTTTTTGTTGAAAATTGGACATTTTAGATAATATATTGTAGCATCTCTGGATACTGACTTCCCCACCTCCCTCTGGTTGTTTATTTGTTGAGTGACTTAGCAGGCTCTTTTAGTGAAGTCTGTCTTCCCCTGCAGTGTGTAGCCTCTGACATTGCTCCTCAGAGGGTGCACCCTGGGAGGACTGTGTCTTAGCAGGGCTCTCTCTGACTCTCTCCCTGATTCTCTGTTAGTATCATGCCCAGCTGTTAGGCTCCACTAATTGTCAGCTGATTGCTCCTTGTTTTTGACAATGCCCTGGGGCATCAATTGCTCCACAGTCTGATCCAATTAAATTCAGCCCCTTTGTAGGGTAGTTTTAAAGGTCCATTATTTGAGATCAGTCTTTGTTCTCACCCCGGGAGGGTTCTTCTTAGCTGTCTCTTTCTCTGATTCTCTCTGATGAACTAGCTGGCCTACAGTTTAGTTTATTGCTCCCATGGAGCTACTGGCTTCCTTACTTGGTTACCAGTAAATCTACATTGTTTTTGACAGCACCCTTGGGCTTGAACTTCTCCACACTCTGTTCCAACTAAAGTCAGTTCTTTTGAGGAAGAGCTTTGGAGTTCTCTGTTCTTATGGCCTGCCTCTCACCCTGGGCAAAATCTCTGAGTCACTGTTCTGGATCTAGGGGTGGGAACAATGGCCTGCTTCTCTCGGAATGACATGCCTGCTTTATAAACAAGGTGTTGGGTGGGGGTAGCAACCTCTGGTCTTCTTGGCTCACGTCCCCCAGTGTTGAACCTCTGCCCCAGGAGTGAGCTGGGGTGAGGGCAACTGGGGCCCCTGTATTCTTGGCCTGCTCCACCTGGGAAAAGCCTCTCCCCTATGACTGGGGTCTGGGTAGAAGAAGGGAGCTCCCTACCTCTTGGCTGCACTCACCGGGAGTTTACAGCCACTGAGTCATGATGGAGCCAGGGGTAGTGAGAAATGCTGGTGGCCTGCCCCTAGTGGGGAGATACTGTAGCCCTCGTCTGGTAGCTTGGGGAGAAAGAACCCCATTTTCTTGTCCACACCTACCGAGAGTGGAGATTCTGTCACACTGAGTTGGGAAAAGCATAAAGAAGTGGGTTATGGCTCAAACGTCACAAACTCTCACTGTTCTTGCTGAGACTTAGTAAATTTTCTAGAATAAGTCTTTCTTCATTTGCTGTATGCCCTTAGGACAATTCCAGAGACTTTAGATGATTACTTGTTTTAATAATTTTCACCAGTTATGGTTGTTCCGCTGGGAGTGGGTCTGTGGAGCTTCTCACACCCCATTTTTCTCAGAAATCCGCTTGCCACCACGATTTTTGCTTTCTGGTATTCATGACCTTTGTAGTCTCCTCCCACACTAGATAGGGCTGACCTGTGCTGCCATGAGGACATCCCCGAAATGAGAGTGTGACTTCCAAAGCTAGATCACAAAAACACTGCGGCTTCTGCCCTGTTATTCCCTCCTGGGTCACGTGCTCTGGGGAAAGCCAGCTGTCTCGTCATGAGGGCAAGCAGCCCAATGGAGAGGTCCCCATGGCGAGAAACTGAGGCCTCCTTGCCACAACCAGCACAAGCTCAGCAGACGTGAGTGAGCCATCTTGCCTCAACCAGCACAGACTCAGCAGACGTGAGTGAGCCATCCTGCCACAACCAGCACAGACTCAGCAGACGTGAGTGAGCCATCCTGCCTCAACCAGCACAGACTCAGCAGACGTGAGTGAGCCATCTTGCCTCAACCAGCACAGACTCAGCAGACGTGAGTGAGCCATCCTGCCTCAACCAGCACAGACTCAGCAGACGTGAGTGAGCCATCTTGCCTCAACCAGCACAGACTCAGCAGACGTGAGGGAGCCATCTTGCCACAACCAGCACAGACTCAGCAGACGTGAGTGAGCCATCTTGCCTCAACCAGCACAGACTCAGCAGACGTGAGTGAGCCGTCCTGGGAGCAGATCCTCCAGCACGTCAGGCCCTCAGACGACTTCAGGTGACGGGCTCACGTGTTGACTGCAGCCTGATCAAAGACACCAGGCCAGAACTACCTAACTAAGTCACTCTGTGGTTCCTGACCCATGGAAACTGTGTGACATAATACATGTTCATTTTTTGAGCTGTTACATTTTGGGTAATTTGTTATGTAGCAATAGGACATTAATACATGCTCTTGAGTAAGACCTTTCTCTTTTATGTTTTTCAGTTTCTTCATCCGAAAAACACTGCTGGACTAGATCCATGATTTCACACTGCCCTGCAAGGAGCCCTACGATGCCACAGTGATGGCCCACAGGCTACTGTACGGTGCAAAGGGGAGGTCAGGTGGGCGTCCTGACTCCAATCAGAGCAGCTCCACTTTTCTCTCTCTCATAAACTGGGCTTCAGTATAAGACTGGATTAGGAGAAAGGGTCTGTCTTTGGTTATCTTTGTTGTTAGATTTTTTTTTCTTTTGACATTTTCTGATTTCTTTAATCTTACATGCTTATTTCCGTTTAGTTTTCCCTTTTAAAATGGGCATTCTCTAAGGCCCTGTAGTTCCAGTGCCCGTGAGAATGGAGGGCAGGGAATGTTTCACAACAACCCTCTAATTGTTCGGAGGGGAAGCTCAGACCTGGAAGAAGGGACTTTTCCAAAGTTACATAGCAATTGAGTGATCACGTGAGGAATGGGATGCAGGTCTCCTGACCCCCAGAAGAGATTATCTGTACGAATGAAATGGAGCTATAGTAAAGAAAAGTGTTTTAAAAAATAAATCTTCAAAAAGCAAGGAGAAGTTGACTTTATTCAGGTACCTGGGGAAGAAAGTTAAAGCAACGAATAAAAGACTCTTGGAACATGCTGTCCTGCAGGAAGCTGGCTTGCTCATAAAGATAAATGAATGGGAGCAGAAATTAGTGTTGGAAGTGGAACAGAGCTCGCCACAGAGTTGTCTGGCATGCTTGGTCATTATCGTGAATGTGTCAATCAGGCAGTTCCCCGAGCCCCTCTGGGGTGCTGGGCAGAGCTCAGGCTGGGACACACAGGGGAGCCGCGCCTTGCAGGGGACCTGCCTCAAGGGTATTTGGAGGGGTTCAGTTCTCCACTTATTATGCCAGATCAGAAACTATAAATTGCTAGCCTCTGGAACAGGCACAGCTTGAAGATGATATATGTATATCTCCTAACTCAGCATTAAAATTTTTAATAGCTGCTAATATTAAAAAATATGTGGATTTCACATAAAGTCTAGATTTCTGGTCTCTTTTGAATAACTGGCAAATCTGGGCTGGCATTGCTGTGTGGGGGGCCATCGGCTGGAGCTGAGTGGCAGCCGCCCCTATAGTTGGGGCCTGAGCACTCCAGTTTCCTGCATTACCCTATCCTACCTCCTGTCGTTTGCCCTCTGAGGCCACATGCTAGCTGCCCTTTATCACAGTGCTCGTGCTGTGATTTTTCTTATGGTAGAGTATTTTCTTATACCTTATTTCACTCATTTATTTACCCACCTGACTCCTGGAGGAATCTGATTTTGAGACCCACCCCATGGACTGTTTCCTCCCTTCCTCCCTCCCACATAGAACTCACTGGAGGCATGGCGCTTAACCTTGACCTGTGGGTCCACCCGATGGGACTTCTCACTGCAGGAGGAAGCATGGCGCTTCACCTGGGCCCCAGTGGGACGCTCGGGCTCCTCATCCTGGGTGGGAGATGGAAGAAGGTGAAGAGCAGGCAGGCTTACTCATCAGTGCAGGGTGTATTCTGGTCCTTGCTCGGGAGCTGAGCACTACAGGACCCCTGAGCTCTTGGCCTTACACTTTAGACTCACGCGGCTCTCAGCGGTTGATAAACCCCTTTCACAACAATGTATCACTTGATCCTCAGACCTTCCTTTGGAGGGCAGCAGAAGGCAACCCTAAACTGGAGTGTCTGCTGAGAGGGAAATTAGGAGGTCTCAAAAGACTGCGGGTGACCATATTTGATTTACCACAGATATTTCTGCCTCACATCATTTGGAATCATCCTTCAGATTTTCTGAATTGCTAATATGGAGTCTTCAGTTAAAAGAGAAGTCATGGATGATTTCAGCCATTGGGAGAAGGGACATAAGACAACGGACTGGCTATACATTTGTGCGTCAACAATACTAAGAACACTCAAAATCCTGTCAAAGCGCAGGAAACCATGAGTGGAATATGATACTAATGTAATATAATAATGATATTGATAACAACAGTGTTATTGTTGTGAGACCTTCCAAAGTTCAGGTACTGTGCTAAGTCCTCTCCATAAAGTATTTCATTTAGTTCTTGCAATAGTCCTATCAGGTAGGTTTTATCATATCCATGTGGAGCCAGGAAGTGAGGACCAGAGAAGTGAAGCCCAAGGTAACTCAGATGAAGCCCTGAGTCCAAAGTTCACGTCCTTAAGCACTAAGCTGTCTTGCTACTAAGCTCTGCAACTGAGAAAAATCTCAAGCTGCAGCCACTGGTTCATCTGAGTCTGATGAAAGACTGTGTAAACAGAAGAAGGATGGCTGGAGAAGTTTCTAGAAAAGGGAGTCCTAGCGGTGAGAGCTCAGAGTGTCATCCAGCACTGTCCAAGGCAGGGGTCCTGGCCTGCAGACATGTCTACTTTCCTTGGCAGCTTGATTCTCTCTCTCTCTCTTAGCTGTGGGGCCTGACTCACCTACCAGCATCTGATCAGAATGTGGTTCTCTGGCCCTCCCATGGGAGGAGAAGGCACAGGACATGCTTCCGGGAGCAGTCTGGGTTGTGTGATGGCTACAGAGGCTTCATTGTACATTAATAAGCTGGCATGTCCTTGGTTTAGTGAGCAAGACAGGGAGACTCTGTCCTGGGAGCTGAAGCCCAGACTGTGGATGCCACCAGGGTAAGGCCTATGGGGGTGGTCACCCAGCTGGCATCCCCCAGACACCACTGAATCAGCAGCATCAGGTCACAGAGCAGTAAACAGGGGTGGGGAGCCCAGTAGTTTGCTCAAACTAGAGCAGTGCTTTGAGCTTGCAGAGCCCTTTCTTTTTCCTGATCTGAGGATCTTTCCACTGCACCACCCAGCCTCCTGTGCCAGGGAGTCCTCGTCCTGAGCCACAGTCTGTGACAAACAGCACCTTCTAGCTGCTGGTTAAAAATGATCTCTCTTAGGCAAAGGAGAAAAGGAGTGGTGAGGGAGAGCTAAGAAGTGCCCTTTGCCACATGCCTGGGCAGTCCCAAGTGACCGTACCTGCATCTTTTCATAAGGAACATCATCGTAGACACGGGGCTCAGGCCATTGATCCTGGCAGGATCTTGCATATCTAGAAAATACAAGGTACAATGATGATGACAATGATGATGACGCTTGGCAGCTTACAGTGCTTTCCTGTCCACTCTCTCATTTGATTCTGGCAGCAGGTCAGAAGGTTAGTAATAGCAGCCATGCCAGGCAGCATTGGGCCACTGCTGTGTTAAGGGCTTCATAGGCAGGGAGCCACGTGATTCTCACAACAGCCCCTGGGCTGGTAATTCATCACCTCATTCTGTAAGTGAGAAAACAGAGGATCCAAGCTGGCAAGCAACCAGCCCAAGCTGTTGGTCATGACAGAGCTGTGACTTGAACCTGGCTCTTCTGATGCCGAATTCCAGGTACCAGCCCCATGCCCGCCTGGATGCTCAAAGGTGTGAGAACCAAGATTCTGTGGCATGAGAGCAGAGCCCAGGCCATGATGCAAAAGGGCTTCTCCACTTTTGCTCATTCCATCCACAGCGTCCCTCGACCGTGGGCTACCTCCTTTAGTCAGCCCACTCCTGCCTGCCGGAAGAGGAGGGCGCCCACTCCGACTTTCCAAGGAAGCAGTCTTCCTCAGCCCTTCCTCCCTCTCTCCCAGTGTCCAGGGTTGGACTTGGGGCCTCTGAGAGGGTGCCAAGACAGGAAAGGCCGCGGGCAGCTGCGGGCTGTGGGGTGCTGACCCTTACAGGAAGGAGTTGCGGCCCGCGCTGACGATGCTGGTCAAGGTTTCCACGTCCACATAGTCATAGTGCAGTGCCTCGGGAGTGACTTTGGAGCCCATCTCCACCAGCAGCAGCCCGAGCCAGCGGCCCATGTCCTCTGAGCAGCTTGCCTGAGGGAGAGGAGGCACAGCCATGTTCACAAGACTGTCGGGTCTCTGTCTACCTACTCGCTTCAGCCAAACCCGTATATACCTGTTATGCAGCCACTCCTGAGGGATCCGAGAAGAACACGCATCGAAATCCAAGTGGCTCTTGCCTTCCCTCTATTCAGGTTTCTGCTCTACCACCACCTCCTCAGAGAAGCCCTCTCTGACCACCTCTCTAAGACACACACCATCCCTCACTATCCTCAGAGCCTTCCCCACCATTCAGAGGTGAAAACAACACTTCGATGTTCCTTGAATTTTTTAAAAAATATTTTAATTTTTATTAGAGGAGGGTATTTCTCACATAATCCAATCAGTGTTTTCTCCTGAATTATAATTGCCAATTATTTATAGTATTGTATACAGGAAAATCTCCAAGAAGTTGCTGGTCAACTAAACACATATTTATGTTAGTTCTCATTTAAAGAGCATTATTATAAAATCAACTTAGCATGAAAATGCTAAACTGGAATAAAGGAAGCACATTTTTTGCCAGAAAGCTCTGTGAATAACTTAAGAGAAAGAAGAGATTCGACTGCCAAATATGAAAAATAAAAGTGAGAGCCAGGGGCTGGCCCAGTGGCGCAGCGGTTAAGTTTGCACGTTCCGCTTTGGCGGCCTGGGGTTCGCAGGTTCGGATCCTGGGTGTGGACATGGCACCGCTTGGCAAGCCATGCTGTGGCAGGCGTCCCACATATAAAGTAGAGGAAGATGGGCACGGATGTTAGCTCAGGGTGAGTCTTCCTCAGCAAAAAGAGGAGGTTTGCCAGTAGTTAGCTCAGGGCTAATCTTCCTCAAAAAAAAAAAAAAGAAAAGAAAAGAAAAAAAAACTGAAAGCCAGTCTTGATGGCCTAGTAGTTAAAGTTCGGCTAGCTCTGCTTTGGTGGCCCAGGTTTGGTTTCCGGATGTGGAACCACACCACCCATCTGTCAGTGGCCATTCTGTGGCCGCAACTCACACAGAAGAACTAGAAGGACCTACAGCTAGAATATACAACTGTGTACTGGGGCTTTGGGGAGGAAAAAAAAGAGAGAGGAAGATTGGCAACAGATGTTAGCTCAGGGTGAATCTTTCCCAACAATAAATAAATAAATAAATAAATAAATAAAAGAGAGTCACAGAGGCAATATTTCTTGAAATTTAAGAACTGACTGAGGCAGTGGGAACTGAGCAAAGAAAACAAGACCAAGAGGCCACTGACCCTCTGTGGGGCCTTGGACAAGCACCTGGATGCCCAGGCCTCAGTTTCCTTATCTGTAATGTGAGGGGGTAGTTATTTAAGTTTTCCACCAGTGTTAATGTTTTAAATTCAAAATAGCTGGAGGATTGACACGTAGAGGGATTCAACCTGTCCTGCCTGACCTGAGAGAGGAGGGCTAGGGCCACTGGGGAACGACGACAAAGAATGGGTAAAATGAAATCACGTTTTCATTCAGCCATTTGTTCAACAAATACTAACTGAGCCCTTAATTGTGCCAGACATCAGATTGGGTTCTGGAAAAACAAAAGTATACAGAACAGGCATGGTTACTGCCTCTGCCTTCATGATTTTGACTCAATAAGGAGAGAATCTTTCTAAACATTGAGCCGCTCGATGGGAGGGGCAGGCTAGCTGGAAGGGCAGTGGTTTGTTTATCTGAGGTGGACAGCCACTCACGGAAAGGTTTCAGAGGGGACTCCAGAATCAGATCTGGGTTAGATCAGACTAGATGCCTTTCAGGATGGGATTTTAAGAGAAGGGAGAGGAAACAAACCTTGGGTCTAGGGTTGCCAGATTTAGCAAATAAAAATGCAGAATGCTCTGTTTAATTAGAATTTTAGATAAACAATGAATAACTTTTCAGTATAGCTATGTCCCAAATATTACATGGGATATATTTATATTAAAAACATTATTCGTTGTTTATCTGAAATCCAAATTTAAGTGGGTGTCCCATATTTTAACTGGCAAACCTACTTGACCACGTGGCAGCAGCTGGCTTCCTTTCCCTTCTTCCTCAGTCCTGGTAATGTCAGCAGCCAGGTCCCAAGACAAAAGCCAAGGCCCATGCCCCAGCTCCTCTCAGCTCCCACCACTGGGGACCGCCTGGGTTCTCTCCTCTCACCTCCAGAATGGCCACCTCTTGCCGGTTGCGCAGAATCCTGAAGGCAAATGGGTGTCTGGGCCCAAAGCCTGGGGCCACCTCACAGCCACGGAGGGCGATGGCATTCATGTGGGTCCGCAGGTCAGTGCGGTCCTTGTGGAAATACAGAGTGTTGCACTTCAGGCGGCACCAGCGTTCCTTCCAGCCCTGGTTCACCAGCACGTTCAGATAACCTAGGAGAGCGAGACCAGCAGTGTGACCTCCCGACAGCCCAGCCCCGGGGCAACCCACAGTGGAGGAGGCAAGTCAAGGTGCTTGGGTCTACACCCCGGGGACAAAGCGCCTGGACAACCCTTGTCCTAACTCCAGCTGGAAACGCCTTCTGGGTCCCCGATAGCCCACTCTCCCCAGGTTGTGATCTCAGGCATCCTCTTCTCTTTGTTTCAGTTTCCTATCTCAGAAATGGGGACTGACAATCACATTTGTATATCGCTGCACTGCCTGTGGACCATGCCAAGCTTGATGAAAAGGGCAGGAACTACTACAGAGAATGAATAACACAGCTCTCCCTCTTGCCTTTCCTCTCCCTATCAAACTATTACTGAAAGACAGAAAGTAATGGATGATGCTGACACCTGGTGGCAGCATGTGGCAACAAAAACAGCAAGCCAAGATAAAGAATTAGAAAACAAGCAAGGCACAGGCTCCAAATTTAAAATATCTAAAATATATGATTTCCTGTTGGGTTCCAGTACACGCAACACTGCATTTGGTTGAACAGAATAATAATGTTTTCCCTTCTAAACCACTTTTAGCTCACATTGAATGTATTTATAATAAAAAATACTTAAATGTTTTTATCTAAGAAATTTCCTTGTAAGACTGGCTCGTAACTTACACACCTGGCATGTTATGAGCCGGGAAATAAGATACTCTCTTCGTCGTCTTCTTCTTCTTCCTTTTTTTTTTGCTGAGGAAGATTTGCCCCGAGCTAACATCTGTGCCAATCTTCCTCTATGTCACATGTGGGTTACTGCCACAATCTGGCTGCTGACAAGTAGTGTATGTCTGCACCCGGGAACTGAACCCGGGCTGCCAAAGCAGAGCACACTGAACTTAACTAGTAGGCCATGGGGCCAGCTCCGTACTCTCCTCTTTTTATAGTGGAGGAAACTGAGGCCTAGAGGACAGTGACTGTGCTAAGGTCACAGGAAGCACAGAAATATGGGAGTCAGTTGGCTTTTCCTTCTGCTGAGCGTCAGGGCCTCGTGGGAGAGAAGTGATAGAAGGGCATGGATTGTTGATGGGGTAGGATTAGCCATCCAGTAGGAGGAGCCTTTCCTCTGCCTTGGTGTCAGGTGGATGAGGGAGGGTCTCCTGGCTTAGCCCCAGAGCTCCCCATCCACTGGGTCTGAATTCTCCTCCGCCGCATGCCTGGTACCCACCACAGCACGGAACCTCCTCGGCGGAGGGCGTCTGCAGGTCCTCAGCCAGCGCCTTCTTCTTGGAGAAGCTGATGATACGGGTGATCTTGCGGCCTGCAGCCCTGCTCATTGAGCCCTTCAGCTCTGCCAGGCTGCTCTTCTTCCCTTTGCCTGTTGCCATGGAGATGGGTCAGGGGGAGGGAGGGAGACCCAAGTCCCAGATCCACTCATCTAAGCCTTCCCTGTGGCCCTTTCAGCCTGCACACAGAGCCTGGCCCATGTCTCCAGTGCGGTCAGGATCTGTTCTGTACTGTGCGCCTGTGGCAAGGCCCCTCCCGGCTCTGGCATCCTCGGGCCTGAGCCCCCAGAGGTACCTACCATGTTCACAGGCCTCCCGGCGGCCGAGGGAGGAACAGCTGTCGCCCATGCCCAGGCTGTCGGAGTCTGAGGTCTGCTTCTCTTGGGACAGCCTCTGGGGAGGGACACAGATGGCCTGGCATCAGAGGGCACACTCAGAAGTCTCCCTTTGTTGGTTCAGTCTCCCCCTGACCCCTGCACATGGGCGTTAGCTAACAAATATTTGTCAGCAACTATCATGTGCCTGATACCACACTGGGTATGGGGAGGACAGTCATGACTTAGGATGGTTGTGTCTTTGAGTTACATTCTATCTGGGGAGCGAGGCAATTAATTACAACACATTGAGATTAATGTCCTAAGAGCTGGACCACATTCGGCAGGTGATAGGGCGCTGGGAAGGTATTTAAGTGGGATACTAACGTAATGTGACTGGTTTAGGGAGTTGTCTCCAGTGGTGTCACTGGGGACAGACAAGAGGGAGCAAGACTGGAAGCGAAAGAGCCACTTACGAGAGTGTCATGTGGGCCAGAGGGGACTCAGTAAGGAGGTGAGCCAAGGTGACAGTGAGGATGGAGGGAAAGGAAGAGCTGGTATTTTCAAAATCGTCATGAAAGGACTTGGTGGCCAATTAATAAGAGTGGTGAGAAGAGAGGAGTCCATTACAGTCCTATCTTGGGGGAAAGGATGGTAAAGACACACACACCATGGTAAGAACTTTATTGCCAGTCAACGTTATTTTTACTCATCATGCCAACTCTGGAGCAAAGCTGGAGCAATTCATTCATCCATCCATTCAAACAGGGTCAACTAAGTTCCTACTAGCTACTCTGGGAGGCGGCTCGGAGCAGTCAGATGGACCTTGGACGAAATCCTATCTCCAGTAGCACCTGTTAGCGGCAGGAATGTGGGAAAATCCTTTCATCTCCCCCAGGCTCGGTATTCTCACCTGAGTTACACTCATTTCAGCGGACTGCTGTGAGGCACCAGAGAGCCCAAGGGAAATTGCAAGGCCAACAAACTATTATTTCTACCACTGGTGTGGTGTGCTGCCATCTCACTTTAAGAAGTTAAACTGTGCCAGCCAGACTCGGGACTGGATTAAAATGACACTCACCCACTTAAAAAGGCAGAATTACAGAGCTCTGAGGCCCCTAAACCTTTCCTGCTAAAGACACCCCAAGGCCAGGCTCAGAGATGCTTTGCTATAAGCATAGGAATGGGGGCACGGAGGATAGCAGAGGGCGTGTGCTCCCCTCAATTCCCAAAGGCTGGAAGACTGGCAACTGCCAGACAGGGGACAGACTGTCAAAAGTATAAAGAATCACCCCTGTAAATTGTGAAACGCCACTTATGGTTCTATTTGTTCTGCCACAGGTGGTAAGTTTTTCATCAAGATAGGAAGCAAATACAAAGAAACACTGTGAACACTTTGGAATTGACTTAATGATGATGGCACTTGAATCACACGATTCCACGGACAGACAGGCCCACCACTCCCACCTCCCCACTCCCACTCCCCTCCAAAAATGCCACCCTCAACATTTTAGCTACCCTCCCCCTATACGCTCAACCACAGGAAAGCTCATCCCTATAAGCTTGTCTCTTCTTTCTCTACACACCCTCAAACTGCACCATGGATGCACCCGTGGGTGTGTACACTCATGCTCACACTCACACACTCACACTCTCACTCAGAAACATGCACACCCCAACCTTGCTTTCCTTTAGGCGCCACTGACAGCAAAGGCTGAGTGAGGACAGGGCTGAGCTCCTCCAGCATCCTCCTAGGCACGAGAGTCCCCACCCTCCTCGCCTACTGACTGTCTATTGACCCCTTCCCTTGCAGCTCCTGTCCCTTGGCCCACCTCTGCCCCAGTGAAATCTTGCCCATTCTTTAAGGCTCTACGTAGGTGCCATCTTCCCTAATGCCCTCATCCCTCCGGCTAGCCTGAGCTCCCATCCCCCTCACTACCGCTTTCCAGGACCACTCCAAGAGAGCTGACAAGCTCCCCCTTCTCTCAGAGCCCAGCCACACTGGTCTCTTTCCATGCCATGCTTCCTCCTGCTCCAGGGCCTGTGCCCTCTGCTTGGAACTCCTTTCCCCTCTCTTTTCTTGCTAGTTTTTCACCCTCATCTGAAATGTACTCCCTCAGGGAAGCCTTCCCTGACCCCAAGACAAGAGCAGGTGCCCTGGTATATGCTCCCAGGTTACCTGGTACTTTTCCCTCTCAGCACTTACACAGCTTGGCATTTCTAAATCTGTGTGACAATTTGATTCATGTCGACTCCAACTCTCCCCTGGGAGGGCTGGGCGTGGGTCTGTTTCTGCTAGGATTGCACCCCAGTGCTGGGGACAGTGCTTGGTGCACAGCAGATGCTCCCAATGACCCACTGAGTGGAGCTCAGGAGGACCCCCTTGAGAGGTGGGCTGGCAGAGTCATCAAGAGCCAGGCTGCCTGGGCGTAAGTCCTAGCTCTGTTTCTTATTAACTATGTGACTTTGGGTAAACCTCTCTGTGCCTCAGCTCCTCATCTGAAAAATGTAATTCATAAAAGAATTGTTGCAGAAATTAATTTAAGTAATACATGTAAAGCATATGGAACAATGCTGGCCACACAGTCATATTCTGTAAATGCTCACCTTCATCAGATCATGCAAGATCCAGGTATGTGGGTCTTGGACCTCCCCCTTGGGTTTGGGGCTGAGTCCCTTTATCACCCACAACACCTGGCAGGGCACAGGCATTAGCACGTATTTGCTGTTGGCCTGACGAACTACTAAGTGACGGCTTTGCTCATGTCCCAGTGGCGCACACTCCTCTGATTGAGAAATTCCAACTTACTTTTCATGACTCTGTTCCAATGTGACCTCCTCCTGTCCTGGCAGGATTAGTCACTCCCTCCTCTGACTTGTACTGCACCCTGGACATGGACACTCATTCACTCATGCATTCATTAACTCAGTAGACATTTATTGAGTGCCTACTATTGTGCCAGCTCTGTGTTGGGCACTCACAGCTTGTATGACACCACAGCAGGTGCCTGGCTTCACCAGCAGCCTGCGAGTCCCCCTGGGCAGAGCCCGTGCTGCCTGGCCCAGAGGAGACCTGTGGAGACAGGTGTACCTTGTCTAGGTCCAGCTTGCACAGGAGGACGGGGGATCTGGGCACGTCTGCCCCCTCGGCTCCCCCGATGGGCTTGCTCACCTCTCGGATGACCTGTGGAGAGGAAGAATAGCTGTGAGCAGCCCAGCAGGGACGGCGGAGGCAAAAGGAAGAACGGGGTCTGTGTGGTCAGGACTGTCGAGCAAAGGGATTGGGACCCCCTGGGCAGAAGAGCTGGGTTGACCTGGCCTCCTTCCTGCCACATGTGTGGGCCACCTCAGGGTTTGACCGGACTTTCTCTTGTGTCTGTCCCTTGAATTGAAAAGATACAGGGCAGGGAAACAAGAGGTTTGGCTTCTGGCCCTGGTTCCAATGCTCATTAGTCACGTGGCCTTCAGAAAGCCCCTTCCCTGCTCTGGACCTTGGTTTCTCTGTCTGTAACATGGGTTATAACCTCCCTGGGTTGTCTGAGGATCAGTGAGATCATGGGTGTGAAAGGCCATGTGAACCGGGACACACTGCACAAGCCTGAGGGACTTGCTTCTGTGACTATGTTGGATAGCCAGGGCTATCTTCTCCATTTCAAAGATGAGGAAACTGAGACTCCAAGGCATTCACCCAAGGCCACACAGCACAAGCATCCAGATCATGAAATAATGGCCACCACTTGCTGCTCAGCTATCTGTGGCTTTACGTGGATTATCCCATTGCATCCCCACAGCAGCCTTGTGGGCCAGGGACCGCTGTGATTGCCAAGTTACAGATTAGGATGACGAGGCTCTGAGAGGCAAAGCCATGGTTGCCTCGCCTTAAACTCTGGGATAATGGCCTCTCAGGATTGGGGTGTCAAGGCAGGCCTCTTAACTCTGGGTCTGGGGCTCCTTCTTCTGACCCACTGGCCCCTTGAGGGCAGAGGCTCCCCAAGCAGGCAGGTTCTCTCCCTTCCTTCCCCTCCTGAGACAAAGGCAGTAAACATTCCAGTGGAAGAGCTGGTTATCACAGGAAGGAAGGGAGGATGGGGAGGGAGGGAGGATGGGGGGGGGAGGGGTTTGGTTTCTTTGTTCCAGCAGGAAGATGAGAGGAGAGAGAGAGAGAGAAAGGTGCCAGAGTGAAATAGAAGCAGGGTGCAGGGCTGTGGCCGCTGTAAGGGACGGGGCGGGGCTTCACCGTCATCACACAGTAATCACTGACGGTTACTGAGCACTGACTACCTGGCAGGCACTGTGTCAAGTGCTGTCTAGAATCCTTACGAGAGCCATTTTACAGAGGAGGCAACCGAGGCACAGACAGGCAAAGTCATCTGCAGAGGATCACACAGCCAGTAAGTGGCACTTAGGCCTAGGATTGAACTCAAGTCTGTGTGTCACCAAAGTACCCCATCGTCATCACCATGTCACCCTGCCTATGGCCTTTGGAGTAGATTTGCTTGTTGGCTTCTAATCCTAGTCGTAACCACTTGGTTGTGTGACCTTCAGCAAGTCTCATAAGTTCTCTGTGCCTCGGTTTGCTCATCTGTAAAACGGGAACAATAACAGTCCCATTGCGAAGAGTAAATGAGGTCATGTTTGTCAAGCTTTTAGCACAATGCATGGCCTGAAGTGAGTGCTCGGTACACGATAACTCTCTTTGTACGTGCAGCTGCGAGATGCAGAAGCTGGATCACAGGTGGATGTTACAAGGATGCACATTTTGCCCTAAGATAAAGAAGAATTTTTCCTTTTTTAAAAGAAAAAAGAAAAAAGATTAGCTTACTTAATGATAAAATCAGCTTCCTTTGTAGATATTAACCTCTCATTCCAGGAGGTGTACAAGTGTAGGCTGGAGAAGCCCACAGCAGGGATGTTAGAAAAGAAAATCAAATACCTAAAAAGAAGAAACGCTTCCAGCCTGAAGTCTGTCTCCTGGAAACATCCAAGGCCCATTTCCACACATAAGCCCCAGCCACGCACGGGACAATGACCTCCTCTCCCTGAGCAACGCCTGTTCTTCCAGGGACGGAGCCCACCCCGCTGAAGGCTGGGCCTGGGGAAGAGAGGAAGGAAGGGAGGCAGGGCGGGGGGGAGGAAGGTGCGGGCCCCCTGTACCTTCAGCCACTCCTCGGCCTGCTCCCGGCTCTGCAGTGCCAGTACCAAGACCTCAGTGGCCCCCTGGGAGAAGCGCAGCTCGTGCCTCTTGTGCCGGCTGTCCTTGGGCACGTAGACGACGTTGCAGACATCCAATGCCAGCCTCAGATGTGGCTGCCGGTCCTTGGAGCTTTTGTAACACTGAACAGGGAGAGAAGGAGTCAGGTCCTCCTGGAGTGGAGGGTGGAGGAGGGAGACACCCTCACACAGAGGCACGGGGGAGCTCCACCTACCCCAAAGACATCTCCCCCACCCAGCTCAACTGTGGGCACCATGGGAGGAGGCTTTGGCTATTTCCCGCAGAGAAGAGAAGCCTGGGAGAGGGACATCTTTGGACAATCTTCAGATCTTAACGGCTACCAATGGGCCCCTAGGGCACACCTATTTAGGAAGAGGCAGATTTTAGCACAATACCAGGAAGACCATTCTAGTCTAAGGAACCAGAGAAGAAACAGGCTGGCTTGGGAGGCAGCCAGCTCTCTGCTACTGAAGGGCTACATGGCAGGAATGTGGGAGAGAGAATTCTGGCTGAGATGGAGGCTGGGCTTGGGAAGTCAAAAGTTTATCAATAATGACTCTCACTTCCCAGTTCTTATTATGAAGCCAGCATTACCTTGATACCAGAAGCTGACAATGACATTACAAAAAAGGAAAATCATAGGCTAAGCTCTCTCATGACATAGCTACAAATGCCATGAACAAAGTATTAACAAGTAGAATCCAGATACAAATAAAAAGCATATTGTATCAAGATCAAGTTTATTCTAGGAATTAGGGTTTATTCTAGGAATGCAAGCGTGAGTTAGCATTGAAAAACCAACCATATAATTCATAACATCAACAGAAAAAAGGAGAAAAACTACATATCTCAAAAGAAGCAGAAAAAGTATTTGATAAAACTCCATACCCATTTGTAACATAAACTCTTAGCAAACAAGGAATAGAGGGGAACTTCCTTAATGTGATAATAAGGGGCATCTAGAAACAACCCACAGCAAACATCAGACTTAATGGTGAATTACTGAAACTTTCCCTTTGAGCTCTGGACTGAGACAAGGACACCTGCTGTCACCACTTCTGTTCACCTTGTGCTGGAGGTCCTAGCCAGTGCGATAAGTCAAGAAAAAACTGAAGGCATAAGGAGTGGAAAGAAGTAAGTCCTGGCCCTTGGACTAGTTCTGGCCTGGGATGAGCTTTTCACGGCTCCAGGGTGAGAAAAGGTCACGTTTCAATTGGATATATATTGGGCAAGGCTTGTCAACAGATTTTTGGGTAAAGAGCTATTTTCTCTTCTGGAATTATGTCTCTCTTCCTACTTTGAATTTAAAGGTACATTTTGTTTGATGAAAATGATAGTGATGAGAGATGGTGAATTGAAAAAAAGGAAAAAAGCAAGTTATGTAATAAATACTACATGGGCTCAGTTTTAGAAAAGACAGATACATGGAAACGAGGGTGGAAATATGTATATTAAAACTTAACACTGGTTAGCACTGGGTCAATGGGATTATAAGTGGTTTTTTAAAAAGGCTTTTTCATTTTGTTTTTCTCTAGTTTTATACATAATTTACTTGCATAATGAAAAACAATAAACATTGTTTAAAAATGATAAAAAATTCTTTCTTGGCAAAACAAAAACTTGGTAAAGTCTATATCGGCTCTTCTAGTTTTTTTTTAAATTCTGCTCCAGTGGGAGAGCCCTGATCTCAGAAGAACGAGGCTTTGAGCCTCTGCACATGAAGCAAGCCCAGAGGAATTGAGGCCGACACGCCTGCATGCACGCAGACATGCGCAAGTCCGCGTGAGGCCTAAAGGCACACGCCCATGGCCACTCACCAGGAGCTGGTCCTCCTTGATGACAGTCAGCTGCTTGGCCCACTGCCCGAAGCGCTTTTTCCGCAGCAGGAAGGCACATATCCTGCAGTCCCTCACCAGGTGCATGGAGGCCTCCTCCGAGGGCCACTGGTGCATGGGCTGTGGGCCCTTCCCTTCCTCCTCCTCCTCGTCGTAGGACTCGTAGGAGCTGCTCATTGCGTCAGAGTCGTTGTCTGCAGGTGCCGTGGGAAAGGACCTGCCACTGTGCCACCGCCCAGGAGGCAGCTTCTAACCCCTCTTCAGGCGTCCCTGCCCTGGGCCCCGGGACCACGAAGGGGTGGCACAAGGGGAGATCATGGTAATGGCTATACTCCCTTGTGGGCACGGTGTTTTACAGATTTACCACTGGCTTTGTGCTCTCGGTGACTTCACCGAGGTTCAGTTTTCTTATTAGTAAAATGGTCATAAATAACAGTATCTACCTCATCAGGCTACTGTGAGCATTACTGAATACAGAGCGTTTAGCCCGGTTTCTGGCACTCATTGAGTGCTCAGTAAACGTCAGAGGGGGTGGTGGGTACATGTACGCCAAGGGTCAGGTCAGGGCCTACTCTTCAAGGACAGAAGCTTCTCAATGCCTGCCCGCTACTTACAGGAGTTCTTCAGCTCTCCGTTCATCCTGGTCGTGGGGTAGCTGCTGTCTGCGTCCTCGTAGTAGCTATCCACGACGGAGTGCGCCGGACTGCAGCCGTCCGTGGGATTGGCAGCAAGAACCGCACCTTGGAAAAATGCAGGCAGACTGCAGGGGCCAGGGCTGGGCAAGGCCCTGGACACAGTGCCCCTCCTCAGGGAAGAGAGAGCGGAGCTCCCTGCAGCTCCCCGGCCAGGGTGTGGGGCCTCCTTTCTGCATCTCACCTGCTCTAGCTCCCCATGTGCCCTCTGTGCTCCAGGCATGCGTTCATGCTCTTCCCTGTGCTCTCCTAGCTTCCCGGAGAGCACACTTACTCATCCTTAAGACCAGTCCTTCAACATCTTTCCTCTGATCTTCCTAGGCAGAGAATGGTCAGCCTCTCCTCGAGACCCCAGAGCACTGGGGGTGTGTGTGTGTGTGTGTGTGTGTGTGTGTGTGTGTGTCTTAGTCACAGCTCTGGTCCCTGTACTTCTAAACCTCTGCGACTACAAAGGAGGAGTGGGACTAGAGAGACAATGACAGTGCACCCAGTAGTGAATACAGCAGCCACCCTGCAGGATTACCACCGCACACTCCCATTCAGGGGGCCGCACGGCCTCAAATCGTATTCTGCATCAGCATTACGGGGGTCGTTTTAGAATGCAGACCCCTAGGCTGTATCCCAGAGATTCTGATTCACCGGGGTGGGCTGGGGTGAAGTTTAAACAAAATGGTTTTTAAACTATTTAATAGGACATTAAAAAACATACGTAAAAATAGAAAATATATTGAACTCTCAGGAGTTGGATGTTTTAAAAACAATGAGGGTTGTTTTGATGCAGATGGTCTCTGGAGCAAACTCTGAAGTTCAGGGGGTTAAAGGCATGTGCTTTGGGGTTGATCAGATTTGAGTTCAAACCTATCTCCACACTTACTGAGCGACCTCAGAAAGAAAACACAGTTTCTCTGCCTTTCAGATTCTTCACCTTAAAGTGGCATGAACAGTTCTCACTTGGATTAGTGCTATGATGCGTATAAACTCTCAGCACAGTGCCCGGCACACAGAATGTGCTGGACAAATGCCAGCTATCATTATTATCGTCTCCTGCGATTCCCACAACACTGGGAGGTGGGTGTCAGCCCCACTTTACAGATGAAGAAACTGAGGCCACGCACAGTTCGCTGGTGACAGAGCCTGGATGAGAACTGAGGTTGCCAGCTCAGGGGATGGAGGCACATCCCTCGTCCAGGAAGCCTTCCTTTCATCCCATTGCAATTGGCTCTCACCACGCTGCTCTTCAGAGCGCCGCTTTGGGCTCCCAGCCCCTCCTGTCCATCTGTTTCCTGAGGACGGCAGCAGTGAAATTCCCAGTGACCGGGACACCCAGTTCTATCTCCCGAGTTCGGCTCAGAGCCTGCCTTTCCCAGCAGGCACTCTGAGGCCTCAGATGATGGCGACATCTCCTGTGGGGTGGACCAGTGGAGTGAGGCCTGGAGGTGGGGCCCGGGGGAGGAGGAAGTGCAATGCGGAAGGGGGAGGGGGCGTCTGCAGCAAAGCGCTGGGACACCTGGCAGGGCTGGACACTGTGTGCAGGAGGAAGGATACTCCGTGACGGGCTCGGTGCTCTCCCCCTGGACAAGGGCCTTGGCCTTCCTGAGGCACTCCCTTCCCGCCTGCCCCAGGATCCCCGCTGCTCCTGGGAGGCGGCTTCTCCGCCCCGTCTGAGAGGGGGATGAGCTCTTTGGGGAGGTGGAGGAGCTTCATTAGGTGAGGGACTCGTGCTGGGGCTCGGGGCCAGCAGCACTTTGTCCTCTCTTTCCTCCCCTGTCCTTGAGCAGTTAAAGTCAAGTCACTGACTTCACATACAAACAGCTGCTTGCAGCGACGCAGACCCCAAGATGATCAAGGCTGAAGAATATGGAGCCACTGATCACCTGGTCCAGCCTTCCCATCTCACTTGGTTTTAGCTAGTTTATTAATCATAAAAATAATATACCACAGTAGCCCAAAGGTGGAAACAACCCAGGTGTCCATCAACTGACGGATGGATACACAAAATGTGGTATATCCATACAATGGAATACTATTTGGCTGTAAAAAGGAACGAAGTACTGATACATGCAATGACATGGATGAACCTTGAAAACATTATGATGAGTGAAAGACACCAGACACAAAAGGCCACATATTGTATGATTCTATTCATATGAAATATCCAGAATAGGCAAATCCATAGAGACAGAAAGCAGACCGGTGGTTGGCAGGGGCTCAGGGGAGAGGGGAACAGGGAGTGACTGCTTAAGGGGTATGGGGTTTCCTTCTGGAGTGAAGAAAATGTTTGGGAACTAGATAGTGGTGATGGCTGCACAACACTGTGAATGCACTAAACGCCACTGACGGCCCACTGTAAAATGGTTGAAATGGTCAATTTTACGTTATATGTATTTTACTACAATAAAAAAAATATATGCCCATGGAGAAAAGCACAGTCAGTACAAAAGAGTATAAGTGGGAAAATATGTTCCCTTCACCCAGATTTCTATTTATTTCCCACAGGAAAATACTCTTAATAGTTTCTTGTATATCCTAGAAAAATTGTTAAAATGAATGCACGTGTGTGTGTACGCCATTAAAAAACAAATGAAATTATGTTATATGCAATGTTCTGTGTTTGAGTTTTTTTCAATGAAGCTATCTTGGAATTCATTTCTGGTCAGCGCAGACAGACCTATTTTATGTATTTTTTGGTGGTTGGAGAATATTCCAAGGTACTACTGAATGATGGGAGAGCGTGACACAAACATTATCTTATACAAGTTCAACCGCACATGCTGGGTCATCCAAAAACCATAATACGGTTTCTTGTATGTCATGTTAAGTCCCATACTTAAGCCAGCGGCTTATCTGATCCTCAAAAAAAGCCACCATCTTTTGCAACCCTGGAGGAAACCGATTGAGAGACGAGTCAAAATCAAAGCCTTCCCTTTGCGGGCGATTTAAGAAATTTTTCAAAGGTAACTGGTACCACTGCCCTCTAAATTATTTTATTGTGCTCACCTATCAGTAAAAATATATACATGTCATATACTTACATTTACTTATGTAACAATTAAATATGTACATATAAGCTAATTCCAAGTATTATGCTACTATTAGATTACAAACACTATAACTATAAAATATTCACATGGAAATTTTAGAAAGATGTATTGCCCTAAATATAAATGAAGCTTCTGATACTTCTGCCCACATCGTTTCATGAATCCCCTGGGGTGCCCACGCTCCACTCTGAAGACCTCCGATTTCCACCACGGCTTTTTTCATCTGATGCATTGACTTTGTAACTGATCCAACTACAAGATGTGATTCTGCTGAAACACAATTATCGCACCGGTCCACTGAAGAGGAGCACTCGGAGGAGCACCAGCTTCAGCACTAGGAACCCGGCTGCGAGGTCATCTGCGTACCTCCATCCTAGCCCCTTGGTATGTGTGCATTTAGCCCCTCTTTCTTATCTGAAGGGCAGGGGAACAGAGGCCCAGAGAGGGGAGGCAGGTTGTCTAAAGCCACACAGAACTGGGACTAGAACCCAAGCCCCTGACCCCCAGGGCCACGCCCACTGGCCCACCCAGGCCATCACTAGGGAGGTCAGGTGCTCAGGCAGCTGCTCCTCAGGAAGTGGGCATGGCTGGGTGGTGCCCGGCTGGGAGCTCCAGCCCCAGCAGGAGAAACAGGCACTTCAGGAGAGGCGCCTCCTCCCCTTGCCCCCACCCCCAGGGGACCAGAACTTACTGTGGGAGCTGATGTACTCGGGGGCCTTACCCGGCCCCAGGGGAAGGGCCTCCTCATAGTAGTCCTCGGGGGGAGGCCTGTTGGGGAGTGGTGGAGGCAGGTCGGCTGCCTGAAGGGGGACAAAGGCGGGGTGAGACCAAGAAGGCCCGCAGAGCCAGAGCGGAGGGGAGCAGGCAGAGCGAGGGGAAGGAGGCAGGGGGAGATGGAGGCGGGAGCTCCTTGAGGCGGCATGCGGTCTCTGAATGGGAAGTCCTAACTTCTGAGTGAGTTGCAGAAGGGCCCTGCTGGAAACCCTAGAGAGCATGCTTGGTCCTGTACTTCTTACCCGAATTATTTAAGCCTCAGGGCTCCTCTGTAATGTCCGACAGTTTTGTGGACTGCCACATAGACGGAGTTACACTTTAGACTGAGCACACGCAGAATCATCGAAAGCTACTGTGAGTTCTGCAATACTCTGCAACCCCATCTGCATGCATGCGAGGAACAGCAGGACAAGTAAACGTGAGATGTTATTTAGCCAGGTGGGATCACCTAGTGGCTAAGAGCCTAGGCTCTGGGGCTGGGGAGCCCCAGCTTTACAGCTAAGCTCTGTCACTTACTAGCAGTGGGACATCAGCATGTCACTTACTCTCTCTGAGCCTCAGTTTCCTCACCTGTAAAGTGGGGATAATAATACTGCCAGCCTCACTCAGTTGCTGTGAGCACGTAAAGGACATAATAAGTGGTCAAGAATTGGGACCATCCATGGTGATGAGGACAGTGAATTATGTGGTTGACAGACAATGCTTGATGTGATTATGCGCCCCCTGACTTAATTCCATGGCCCCAAGGGTGGGAACCCTAGATATGATCCAAACCATTTTGTAGGTGAAAAACTCAGGCTCAGAGACGGGAAGTGATTTGCCTAAGGCCACACAGCGGTAAGGAGGAAGGCAGAGGCTACGTAACTCCTGGTCCAGAGCTTTCCCCATCACTCTGCCTGTATTACTACAATCACAGGCTGGGGTGGGGACATCCTTTGGGACTGAAGGGACGGGTCAGTTCATCACATTCTCCCTGCTCAGCCTGGGCACAGTGAGCATGTCATGAGTCACTGAAATGTTCTCTTGGCACTATTTCTGCCCTTAACCACCATATGGGAGACAGAACAGGATCCTGTACAACCAGGAGGGTCCCCAGGGTCAGGGGGAGAGCTTCCCTTGCCCTCTCCAGAGGGACAGAGGGCCTGATGGTGTGGGAAGCCAGGCCATGACTCACATGTCTCAGAGACGGGCTCTTGGCTGGCTCAGGGCTGGCTCCTTTGCCGGGCTCCCCATCGTCCTCCGGCATGTCCCGAAGGTCGCTCAGGTCACAGTCTGTGGAGGGTCAGACCATTAGGTAAAGAAAGCCGAGGATAAGTGGCACAGAGCCGAAGAGGGCTGGATTTGGGGTGGGAAGGCCTCCACCACCTCCTCCATTAGTAACCCTGAGCAAGTGACTTCACCCCGAGACTGGGTCTTCTCATCTGGAAACTGGTCACAATAATCCCCGCCTTGTCTACCTCCCAGGGTTTTCCAGAGGATCAGATGAAATCATTTTCAAGGGTTATGTCATGAAAGCATGGTGTCTTCCTGCAGTGTCTATCAACTCCTAAAACTCTCTCCCTGACCCACAGCTTTCCCCCGTGGTGAAGAGTGCCGTCTTCCCTCAAGACGGAGCAGGCATTGCATACACCCTGCATGCAGCCTGGCTCGGCTGCTCCCACGCCCGTGATGCCACTGCTGGTCCATCACAGCTCCATCTTCTAGACTGCTAGACTGGGCCGCCAGACGGCTCGACCCAGGGTTCCAGGCGGCCACGACCAATGATGGAGGAGCAGGTGAGACCACACCCTGGGGGCCAGACCCCACTGGGCTGCGCTTTCATCCCTCCCTTTCCTCAAATCTCGGGGATGATCTCCCATAACCGTACAGATTTTGACTAGATTTTCAGACCTGGCAGGGCCCAGAGAGGCCAAGAGACTTGCCCAAAGCGACTCAGTGCTGTAATGTTGGAGCCAGGCCCCTATGCAGGTATCTCCCCGCCCAATCCGGGGACCCTCCCACAGACTGAGGTCAGCAGACGGTCGCTTACCAAATTCTTCGAAGAGGGACTCCACGAAGCTGGGCCCAGTGTGGAGGTCGGCTGTGTTCACGTACAGATAGGAGACTTCCTTTGCTGTGAGGGAGGAGGAGAACATACCAGCAGTGAGGGGGAGGCGACCCGTGGCTTCTGACTCTGAGGAGGGGCCAGGTCCCCCCGCCCCACTTGGACTTTTCTCCCACACAGGACACAGCATTCAGTTTGCAAAGCATGTGCACATCTTAACATCCCCTGGTTTCCCAACATTGTTTTCATCTTCACATTGTTACTGAGGCTCTCCCTCACCAAGTGAAAGGATGCCCAGAGCCCAGTATAGAAAACAGCTCACAGGGGCTGCTCCGGAATGGCCAGGGGACAGGGGCTCTGGGGAGCACAGTCCCAAACTGCCGTCCCTTTCATCCTCCCACAGGCCTGTGAGGGCAGCTGATGACATCGAACTCTTTTGTCACTGAGAAGTGAGGCTCACAGAGTCCCCCAGTGGTGACTTCCCACCACGTCACTCAGACCCTCCAACGCTGCAGAACACAGGTGAAGCTCCTTAGGGTTTACGAGTCCCTGGATTTACATGTATCATCTCATGGGCTGACTTGGGGTGTAGAGAAAAGGCTGGAGCAGATGAGGGGGACTTGCTGCTCAGTAGACAGGCAGAGAGGCTGTGGGGGCAGAGGAGGGGCACCAGTAAAGATGTGGGGCCGGTGTACAACTCACAAAGATGGGGGTGTGTGCAAGTGTGGGTCTGTGTGTAGGAGTGTAGGATGTGTCTGTGCTACGTGTGCTGTGTGTCTATCTGGTGTATGTCAGACTGTATGTGAGTGTTCACTGTGTGTGCATGTGTACTATGTGTATGCGATGTGTATGTCAGTGTGTGTTGTGTGCGAGAGCAGTGTTACATGTCATATGTGCTGTGTATGTGAGTTCATGCTGTATGTGAGAGCATGTTGTGTCGTGTGTGATGTGTGTTATGCATGTGAGGTATAGGTCAGAGCATGCAGTTGGTGAGAGTATGTTGTGTGTGTCATGGGTAGCATACATTTGTTATGGTTGTGCTATGCATGTGAGCGGAATGTGAGAACGTGTGTGGGAGGGTGGTATGTGGTGTGTACGTGAGTGTGTGCTGGGTATGGGAGGGTGTTGTGTGTATGCAGTGTGTGTCAAGTGTAGTGTACATTTGTTATGGTTGTGCTATGCATGTGAGGGGCACATGAGAACGTGTGTGGGAGTGTGGTATGCAGTGTGTATGTAAGTGTGTGCTCGGTGTGAGAGCACGTTGTATTTGGGGTCACATGTGATACATGTTTGTTACGTATGTGAGGTGTATGTGACAACGTGTTCTGTGTGAGTATGTTGCATGTGGGAGTGTGGTATGTATATGAGCGTGTGCTGGGTGTGACAGCATGTTGTGTGTGTTTGGGGTCACATGTGATACGTGTTTGTTACATATGTGATGTGTTCTCTGTGTGTTGTATGTGGGAGTGTAGTATGTGGTGTGTACGTATGTGTGGTGTGTGTGTGTGTGCGTTTGTAGCAGGGTGAGGATGGAGGAGTCCAATGAGCACAGAGGGCTGAAGTGGATGAGGACATTGGGTCAGACCATGAAAACCCCGAATGCTACACTATGAGGCTCAGTTGTTCTGCTGCCGGCAGGCCCTAGGGAGTTACGAAAGGTTCTTGAGGAGCTCTGGGGAGAACGCTGATGGCTGACCTGGGAGGGGCTGCAGGCTCTGCAGGATGGAGGCCACGGCCATCTTCTTCTCCAGGGTGGTATCGCTGAGGTACTCGTGGTCCAGGAGGCTGAGCAGCCCTGTGAGCTCAGGGAGCAGCTGCTCCAGCACTGAGGCGGGAGGCCGATGGAGCACGGTCAGGGCCCTGTGTCCAGGATCCCGGCCCCGCCCCCTCCCACTGGAGGCCAGGGAAGCAGGGCCAGAGGGCAGGCCCGGGTACAAAGGGAGACCTCAGAGGCCCTCGCACAGCTGTCCCAGGGCCGGCCACCCAGCCTCCCTCAGGAGAGCCCTGTTCAGTTAGCCACGACATTACTCCGGGCCTCCCCACTCTACCTCAGACCTCTTACGTCCTTGGCCTGAGGATTGAAGCTTCCGGGCTCACCCTGGAAGCTCTGAGCCCAGGCTGCCCTGAGCGGAGGCACCCAGGCCTCCCTTTGTCCCAGCCTGACCTCTGCTTTACAGGCCCGGGGTCCTTCCTTGCTGCAGCTCGAGGCTTGGTGCAGGTCCCAGGCGGGAGCCTCCAGCCGTCCAGGACACAGGCAGGAAGGAAGCCCTGCTGTCCCACCAGTTCATATGCTTCAATCTCTGGAAGCTTCTGTTTCCGGCGCCTTGGTGGGAGCCAAACTAAACATTAACCCTCCCCAGCTCAGGCCGAAGTCTACGGTGAGGTGGCTGTTCTTTCTCTCCACACTACAGCAGTGCTTCTCCAACTTGAGCTAACAGGAACTACCCAGTGAGATTGTCAAAACGCAAATTCTGACTCAGGAGGCCTGGGGTGGGACCTGAGATGCTGCATTGCTGACAGGCTCCCAGCTGCTGAGGAGGGGCCAGCAGCTGCTGCTGCTGCTGCTGGTTGAGACCCCACGGAGTTGCAAAATCCTAGAGCACAGAGTCCTTTAAAGACTGGAGCGTGCCAAGAGCATGATGTCATCCATGTCTCCCTGTCCTGAGCAGCAACTTGGGACTTGGTTTGCCTTACAGCTGAAGACCAGCCTCATGACAGTGGTAGCACTGTCCTGTTTGTAACTCGCCAATCATTTGTGCTTAATAGTAAAAGCCCTTTCATACTTACTGTCTCTTCTAAATCTCATATTAAGCCTTTTATTATTTCCATTATATGGAGGCAGAAACGAAGGCTCAGAGAGGGTAAATAACCTCCAGGGTCACACAGCCAGCAGAGCCTTGACTGGACCTGGTTCCCTTACTCTATACGTCTAACCATGACACCATAGTGCCTTGCAGTATTTTACACGATCCTCCCAACAAGTTTTAAGATAGGTCCCATGATCACTCCTACTTTTTAGATGAAGAAAGTAAGGTTCAGAGAAGGTAAGTAACTTGCTTGAAGTCACACAGAGGCAAGCAGAAGAGCCAGGAGGTCAGCTCCAGTTTCCTGACTCCCAACTCCACGTGCTTCTGCCCACCCCGGGCCCCCCGAGGAAGCCGTGAGACTCCGACTTGTAGCTACTGGGTCTCAATGGGTAAAAGGGGCTATAACCAGCCCCAGAGCCAGACCACCTGGCTTCAGGTTCAGGCTCCATCATTCATTCGCTGTGGGACTTTTGGCAAGTTACTTAACCTGTGACTCAGTTTCCTCCTCTGTAGAGGGGAGGGGTGTAATAACAGCCCCTGCTTCTTATGGTTGCTGTGAGGATCAGTTATACCAGGCATGAAAAGTGCCCTGCCCCGGACTCAGTAAACGCTCACCCCCAGTCAGCTGTTACTGCCGTTACAGCATTTACCACGCTGACGTGTGCTGGGCGGGTCTCTCTGAGAGTCTGTCCCCCTCAGCAGGCTGTGAGGCTCTGGGAAGCACAGAACTTACTACGAATCTCAGCTTCCTTGGCATCTAGTCTGGGGCCCACTCGGTGTGGGTGCTCTGTATGTATTTGAAGAGAGAGGGAATGAAAAGATGACCACGCCAGGACTTTTTTAAAAATAGAAATCTTACGTGTAGATAGTGGCACTTGTTGGAAAAATGTGGTGTTGCAGTTTGTCTGTGGCATTCCATCACCACCTCAAATTTGTTGGAAATGAGCTAAAGGCTGAAAACTGACAGCTACCCCCTTGCGAGCTCTCTCTGCCTCAGGGCACTGGGCTTTCCTCTCAATGTCTCATCTGGTCCCCACAGCACATCTGTGAGTAGGTCCTAGGGGGATACTTGTGCTCCAGAAGATGACGCTGAGGCTGAGGGAAGCTAAGGGCCCATCTCACAGCTTGAAAGAGGAGGAGCCAGGTTGATTCCGAGTCTGTGTGATTCCTAGAGCTCCTGAGTCGCACACCTCCAGGGGGCGCCACTCCCCTCAGAGCCCAAGTGAAAGGTGCCCGCAGGCCGCGCTGCCTCCAGGGCTCGTGCTGTGGCCAGGCCACGTGAGCGAGGGCTCTGGATGGGGAGGTTTCCCTCTCTGAAGTAGGACATCATTTAAATCCTTGTAGCCAAATTCTAGCTGTGGTGAAGGAAATCTTTTCAAACGGAATCGCAAACCTCTCTGGCACCAACAGGCATACCAACAGTCAGTTAACCCAGAATATTTACTGAGCACTAATTATGTGCAACTTGGGGGAAATAGGAAGTGAATAAGATACTGTGGCTGTGGGCATATTCTCTCTCTCTCTCACTCACACACACACACAGACACACACACACACATGCACGCACGCACGCACATAACGACTTGCCAGGGAGGCCATGGTAAATACCCCAGGCGGGCACGGCACCATGGGAGCTTCCCTGTGGCCCGCAGCCGTGGTCCACATGAGAAAATCCACGACACTGCTCTGCCATCACGCAGGAACTTCAAGGCTACGGGGTGCAGTGGCTGTTTCTTCATCCTACTACCAGCGATTCTGAAACTTTGTGGCCTCAGGACTCCTTTATACTTTTAAAAATTATTGAGAACCCCAAAGAGCTTTTGTTTTATGTGGGTTATATCTATCAACATTGACTGTATTAACAATTAAGACGAAGAAGATTTTAAAACACAAGAATACACAGGTGCGCATCCCATTAGTCTTCAGCGCTACCATGTCAACGCATGTCATGTAACCTCTGGAAAACTCCACTGTACACAGGTGAGAGGACGAGAGCAAAAAAGGCCTTTAAGGTCTTGGGACTATATAAAAGTAGTTTTAACCTTGCGGACCCCCTGAGAGCATCACGGGGACTCCCCAAGGCATTCTCCATCCCAACCACACCTTTCTGAGAACTGCTATCCTTCAATGAATGACCTCAGATTGCTAAACCTTTTCCGATTTCCTAAGTCCCTTGGTCTGCCCCTTCCTCCTCAGCCTCCCTCTCCCCTCCCCCTCCCTCCCTTTCTGTCTCTCTTTCTTTTTTTCACTGTAAGCTTCCAAAGATTTCTTCTTGCTGCTATCAGCAAGTGCCTAGTGCCTATGTGTGGCAGCATTCCTGCTTATAAAAGCTCTCGGGCTTCTAATTTAAGGTTTGTTACAATTGTTTCTAACAAGTAGGTTTGGAGCGAGTTCTCTGCATTTAAAGACAGGAGCTATAGTACCCAAGCTTTGTAACACCTTTTGTCTTTATCCTTGGTCCTGGATGGGATTCCTAACAGAGACCATGACTTTTCATCTAACCGTGATCACAAAAGTCCAAACACAGCAAAGGAGGGAACCGAGTAAATCTGGGAGCAGCAGATGGGGAGAGCCAAGCTGCCCAGTCCGGGTGGCGGTTGGCTTCTGCAGCCTGGAAGGAAGTGGCAGGCAGCAGGTGGCAGAGGGACAGTCACATAGTTTTTAAAGTGGGTTTGGCAGAGAAGTGTGAGCCAAGGGGGAAGCTCAGCTTGCAGGTCATGAACAGGCTCCCTAGAGCTGAGCAGTTACTGGATACTGGGCGGTTAGCACGCCTCATCTCATTTCATCCTCATAAACCTCACAAGAGGTAGCCGGTGTTGCTATCCAAGCCCTACAAGGGAGGAAATGGAGGCTCTGAGAAGTGAGGCCACCCAGTCAGCAAGCAGCAAGGCCAGGCCTTGAGCTCAAGTCTATGTGACTTCACAGCTTGCACCCCTGTTCCTGAGCAGCAGAGGCCAGGCCAGGGCAGGGAGGAGGTGCGCAGCCCCTCACAGCTCTCCTGCCGAGGGCTCTGGGCCATGTCTTCACTGGGGCTCCTGGCCTGGGTGTCCCCTCACTGGGTGGGTGGGAAATCCTTATTGTGGGGCTGAAATTCCTGCTCAGTGGGCCTCTCTCCACTGGACCCATTGAACTTCAGAGCCCTAACTATGAAGATCTCATAGAAGAAAAACAAGTGACTCAAAGCGTACACCTGACTTAGCGATACCTCATCCCAGACGGAGTCTCATACCTCATGGATGTGGGGGAGCTTTCAGCCAGCGCTCGGCTCTTCAAGGACAGTACAGAACTGCCCCTAAAGCCAGCTTTCAGGTGCACTGAATACAGAAGTGCCTTTGATGGCAACTTCATCTTTGACGCCTTAGAATTTAAACCACGGGGGTTTAAACCATCAGAGAATTTAATTTGGAGAGAAATCACGTGTGTATGATGCACACGACAAACGGATCTGCCAAGGCTCATACATACCCCCAGGACAGCAGCCTCAAATTTTGGCAGTCAGACTCTCCCAGGGGGTTTGTCAGAAATGCAGATTCCCAGACCTCCTATCCAGAGTCTGACTCAGCAGGTCCTGTACTGGGACCCAGGAATCTGCATTTTTTATGTGTGTGTGTGAGGAAGATTGGCCCTGAGCTAACACCTGTGCCAATCTTCCTCTATAGCATGTGGGACGCTGCCGCAGCGTGCCTTGATGAGCGGTGCTAGGTCCGGGCTCCGGATCTGAACCCATGAACCCCGGGCCGCCAAAGCAGAGCGCGCCAACCTAACCACTACGCCACGAGACCTTCCCCAAGAATCTGCATTTTTAAGTACTCCAGGTGATTCTAAGGTTCAAGCTTTGAAAAATACTCCACCAGAAAACACACACTACACGGCATGTCTGTGAATATAAGGAACCTGGGAAGACTTCCCTCATTCCTTAAAAAATTATCATTAGACCTGGCCTTCTGAAACAACTGAGAGTCAGGTGGGAACAGGAGCTCTTACAGAAGATTGTTACTAGCTGGAGCGTGGAGTCTTGCTTAGAAGAGCAACGCTGAGGGCTTTGGGGTCAGACCTGTGCGAACTGGAATTCTTGTGCTGCAAATTCTGAGCTGTACAAAGATGGGCATGTTAGAGAATTCTGAGCCGTGGTTTTCTCATCTGTGAAATGAGAATAATAGGAGCCCAGCCTCCTAGGCTGTTGTTGTTGCTACTTCCTAATACTCCCCAGAACCATGCAGACTCCACGGTATTGATGGATGGTATCGAGTGACAGATTTGCTAGAGATGTTGTAACAAGGGCTGTGAGGATGGGGACTAGGTCTCAGTCATAGTGGATGTCCAACGAGCATTTATTCAACGAACGTGATATTTTGATGACCTAGTCTAAATTTTTCATTTTAAAGATGTGGAAAGCGAAGGTCAAAGAGGTTATTTGGCTTAGTTACGGTCACACAACCAACTGAAAACAGAAGTATCTAGTGTTAGATTCACACAGAGCTAACGCTTAGAGGAATCACAGAAGAGCGGCTAAGAGCACAGGCCAGAGCACAGGCCGTGCACATCTGGGCCCCCTCCCAGCTCTGCCGCCAGCAGTGGGCCCCGGGGGAAATTTCTTAACTTTGCTAAACTTTCAGTTCTTTATCTGCAAACAGAGTGAGTAGTAACAGTAGCCGCTTCACATGGTCATTGAGAAGATGAAAGGAAGTAATGTGTATGGCGCTCAGAGCACTCAACAGGTGCCCTGTTCACTCCTGTGACCTCCCGGCAGCCTCAGGTGTGTGGTAGGCACAAGGGAGGGGGGTATCTGGGGGCAAGAGGATGTCATGGGACTCTGCAAGCCCCACCACGTGGACTGTTCATGGCTCCAGGCTTGACACCGAGCTTGAGCTTGGGGTGCTTAAGGCTGTAGGAGGCCGTGGAGCCCCTTCCCCTTGGGCTCACATCCCAAGGACCCTTTCTACGCTAGGTGAAAGGACAACATCTTCCAGTTGGAGGGGCAGTAATGCAACCCTGACATCCTGTCCTCACCTCCCCAGTCAGGAAAGATGTCACTCACCAACCTGCCCCCTCCCATCTTCACTCCTGGTCTAAGTCATCTCTGCTTTCCGAGGGTAGACCAGGGCATCAAGACAGGGCTGTCTTTCATGTCTAAAGTTTATTTAGAACGATGAATACATTTCATTGATCTTGTTTGGTTTAGCTGAGCCTTAGGGAGGTACGGAGAATTCCAATGAGGAAAAAAACACAGGAAGAAACGGTCTAATCATTGTTTACAAGTCTTTAATCTTTCGCTGAGTGGGACAGTCGGGCACAGAAACCCAAGATGGGTGATAATTGTTCTCTAGGATGCAAGAAAGTTTGCCAAATAAAATTAGAAGGCTATTTAAAAATATATCTAAGATTAGACCACCAAGTGCTTATTGTTCCTGGTGAATATCCAGCTAAGACTAAGATCAATTTTCTCTCTGCTCCTCCACACTCCCCACCTAAGTGAAAACACAGTGAGATGGGACAGAGCAGAAATTAAGCCACAGGCAAAAAGCAGGGCTACCTGCTTCGAGGACGGCACCCCTGATGGAGCCTGAGTGAAACCTTCAAACAAAAGGTGCTTACCATAGCTGACAGGGGTTCTAGTGCAGGGAGGGCTGGATGTCGAAGAGATCTCGGAGGTCAGGAGCCCACTTTCCATGACAAAAGAGCAGTGAATAATTCAACTTCAACGACCCACAGGAATAATGAGCCCTGTTTCGGCTCCTCCTAGGTGGGCCCAGAGGGCACTCTGACTTGTGATCTCATTCCTGCGCACCTTTTAGACTCTGGAATTTACAAAAATGCAAGGAAACAGCCTGCGAGTTACAATTCATTAAATGCAAAGCAGTAGGAGGAAACGCAATTCCTCTTTTCCCTACCTCACTATTGAGAAACCTCTTAAGGACAAAGATAACTCATCTTTGTTTTCAAAGACAAAGAAAATGCAATCAGCTTGATTTAAAAAGGGAAAATAGGAAGAGCTGTCAGAATGTGGTTTTATGAAAGGCCTACAATTTTTCTTTTGGTTTACTCAGATTTCTTTTCTCATTTCCAAACAGCAAAATAACCCAATTTCCATCTCATAAAGGCTCCTGTCCAGGAGAGAGAAGCAGTGCATTACTTAAAAAATTTTTGATCATGATTTTAGAGACGACTTTTAGGACACTGTTTTGTAACCAGCTAGCACATTAATGAGGCATGACCCATTATAGTGGTGGGGAGGCAGGTCGCCCTGGAAAGGAAAGCAGGCATGACCTCAACATTTGGGTGGGAGGAGGGAACGGAAGAGGAACCTTTCCTTCCAACACTGCAGGTCCATCCAAAGAGACCTCCCTCCAGTCTGCCTTCAATGTTCTTTTCTTTAGCCTCTTAACCCAGGGCCTTTGCATATGCTGTTCTCTCTGCCTGTCAGAACTCCCTTCTCCTGAAACCAGTAATGTCCCCCCTTCAGCTCTCAACTCAGTCAGGTTTCCTCAGGGAAGCTTTCCCTGTCCTCTCGACCACACCCATTCCCCGTATTTGATGCTGTCACAGCACCACTCTCCTTGTGGTACTTCTCATGGTGAAATGTTATATTTACAAGTCGTCCCCCCTTATCCACGGTTCCAGTTACCCGTGGCCAATCTCAGTCCTAAAACATTAAATTGAAAATTCCATAAATAAATAATTCCTAAGTTTTAAATTGCACGTGTTCCAAGCAGGGTGATGAAATCTCGTGCCATCCTGCTCCGTCCCACTGGGGACGTGAATCATCCCTTTGTCCAGTGTATCCACGCTGTATATACAGCTACCCACCCATTAGCCTGTTAGTTAGGAGAAAACATAACATCTATAGGGCTTGAGATGACTGCGGTTTCAGGCATCCACTGGGGGTCTTGGGAACGTAACCCCCGCAGACAAGGGGGGACAACTGTACTTATGTATTTCATTGATTAACGTCAGTTGCCCCCCTTGAGCCTGAACTCCATGAGGGCAGGAATAGCACCAGCTTTTGCTTACTTTACAGAGTAAATCAGTGTGTAAGCATTTATGGAACGAATGAATTCTTGAATAAACTTTTCTTAAGAGTTGATGAAGTCCAGCAG